TTACCCATCCTATATGTACTAGTTTGCATCTGCTAATCCCAAACTCCCACTCCTTCCCTCCCCCACCTCCCTCCCCCATGGCGACCACAAGTCTGTTCTCTGTATTTGTGAGTCTGTTTTTGTTTTGTAGATAGGTTCATTTGTGTCGTATTTTAGATTCCACATATAAGCGATATCATATGGTATTTGTCTTTCTCTTTCTGACTTACTTCACTTAGTAAGATAATCTCTAGGTCCATCCATGTTGCTGCAAATGGCATTATTTCGGTTTTTTTTTAATGGCTGAGTAATATTCCATTGTGTATGTATATACACATATATTCTTTATCCATTCATCTGTCGATGGACATTTAGGTTGTTTCCACATCTTGACTATTGTGAATAGGGCTGCTATGAACATAGAGGTGCATGTATCTTTTCGAATTACAGTTTTGTCTGAATATATGCCTGGGAGTGGGATTGCAGGATCATATGGCAGCTCTATTTTTAGTCTTTTGAGGAACCTCCACGCTATTCTCCATAATGGTTGTACCAAGTTACATTCCCACCCACAGTGCAGGAGGCTCCCTTTTCCCCACACCCTCTCCAGCATTTATTATTTGTAGACTTTCTGATGATGGCTGTTCTGACCTGTGAGAGGTGGTACCTCAGTGTTGTCCGCCATTGGATTTAGGGCCCACCACAGGCCAGGATGATCTCATCTTGAGGTTCTTACCGTAATTACATCTGCAAAGACCTTTATTCCAAATAAGATCCCATTCTGAGGGCTTGGGGTGGGCACATCTTTTGGGGGCCTCTGTTCAACCTACTGCGGGGAAACTGAGGTGCAATGGGGTGCGGCACCTTCTCATTGGGCTGAAGGGACAGGAGACCCCGTATCACTGCCCATTTCTAGATTTGGCTGTAGCGAGGTGGCTTCACAAGAGAGGTCTGGGATGCACGTGTCCTGTGTGCAAGGGATGGACTGACTGGCCACTGGCTGCCTGAAGCCTCATCTGGCCCTGGGCTGGGCGTCCGCAGGCCGCCTCTCCTTTCTGGGGGCCCTGGCACTAGGCATCCCCCAACTTAGGGCGAGGATCCTTCTGGGTGAACAGGGGACTCGCCTGGATTTCCAACTTCATGTGCTAACTGGGCAGCTGAAAGGAGATGTCACCCCAGGCTTGATAGGTAATTACTCTTCCAGTTCCTGTCTCTTCCTGGCCACACCAGGGATGGGGCAGGTGGGGAGGTGGGTATCCCACGCCTTCTGTATAATAACCAGTTTCGGGACAGAACACCAAGCATTTCTCAGGTTCCGAGTTCTCGGTCCCCCACAGTAATAAATTGGAAAATCCTGGTAGCTACACGTGTTAGAAGTGTAGGCCTGGGCTTCCCTGGTGGTGCAGTGGTTGAGAGTCCGCCTGCCGATGCAGGGGACACGGGTTCGTGCCCTGGTCCGGGAAGATCCCACATGCCGCGGAGCGGCTGGGCTCGTGAGCCATGGCCGCTGAGCCTGCGCGTCTGGAGCCTGTGCTCCGCAACGGGAGAGGCCACAGCAGTGAGAGGCCCGCTTACCGCAAAAAAAAAAAAAAAAAAAAAGTGTAGGTTTGTGACCCACAATCTGCAGGAATTTATCCTAAGGGGGGAAAATCAGAAACTGTGTAACAAAGATTTATGAAAACAAAATTATCACAGTGATATATATAGATAGATATAGATATATACTATTTATATTTTATATATATACATTATTTTACATAATATATATATTATTTTTCATAATATATATCATGTAAAATAGTGAGAAACTGGGAAAACCCAAAATGTCACAAGCCAGGTGAATCCTCCATGAAACAAAACAGTGCCGACAACACAATGAGGATGCCAGTTCTGGGCTATTGACAGGGAAGGGTGTCATGTGACAAAGCCTCCAGCAGAACAGAATACTGTATTTAAATGTTGAGAGAAAAATTATTTGAAGGATGTCTGACAGGCAGAGAGGTTACCTCCTGATGGTTGGATTATGGGATCTTTTTTTTTTCAAGTTTTTTAGAATTTTCCAAATCTTCTACAATGGACATCTATTGTTGTAGCATCATTTCTTAAGACTTAAACAGAATTCCCTTGCAGTGCCAGGGATGATGGTGACACATCCCTCAGCCATCCGTGGGGGCATTTCTCCCGAATGAGGCTGGGCAGGCAGGGGTGGGCGGCCCTGCTGGGAAGGCCTGGAAGCTGGCAGCCCAGAGCTGGGGTAGCATTCGGCTCAAAGGAAGCCCTTATCATAAAGGGTTCCAAAGAGGCAAAGGGCAGCTGGAGGAAGTCTCCCCGTTGGGGCCGGAGCGATAATGCCGGCCTTCACGGCCGGGCTCCTCCCTGTGCTGGGGGTCCTCTCCCGCCTTAGGGTTCCATGTGGCACCGGGCGGAGGGGCACCATCCTCATCCTGCTGGCTGTGGGGACTGGACGGGAGTATGCTGACCAGCCACCGTGACCTGGAGATGGGACAAATGGTGGCCCTCACTCAAGGTGCATGTCCTGAGAACTGAGCCCTCCCTCCCTCTGGCTGACTCTCCCTCTGCCCTGTTCCCCAAGACAGGACCCTAGTGGGACAGAGACCTCACGGAAGCCGGGCAGGCAGTTCCTCACCTCCCAGAGTGCAGGGGAAGCTTCTCCAGGAGGCGGGAGATTCTTCCCGGCCACCCAGGGGACCCTGGAGTGACATGGGGTGCCTGTACCCCACCTCACCTGTTCACTGCACCTCCTTGGTCCTAACCTGGAGCCCAGTGGAGAGTTGGGACCCAGAGTAGCAGCTGTTGAATTAACAGCCGTCTGCCTGGGTCTCACAGATAGGAGGAAACCAGGGGTGAAATGCGTGGCTCAGCTTGTGTGGGTGATGGGACCTTCACTCTGCTCTGTGCACCTGCCTATAACGGCCGGCCCACCTGCACGTCTCGGGACATCAGTGCACTGTCAGGAAGGCCTGATGACCCTGGGGCTGGGAGGGAGCAGCGGGCTGTCTAGTCTCCCTTGCTTAGGGAAGCTCGATGGGGAGCAGACCAGGGGGCGGGGTTGGGGGGAGGGTGGGCGGTGCCGGGGCCAGGCCTTCTCTGCTGTGGGACCAGACCAGAGCCCGGGAGGGGACAAGGTGATTCATGGCTGGAGCACTGCCCACTTCCCTCTGGGATGGGCAGCCTGGAGGCGTTCTGGGGCTCTCTCGGGGCTCCCCAGACCAACGCTTCCAGGGCAGGTGGCCTGAGAGTGGCTGAGTGTCAGTCAGATGGGACCAACGTGGTCCCCCCCGCCTCTCCCGCCGGTTCCACAGACACCACAGGGATCACTGACACCTTGTGAGCAAACAGCTCAAAGACGGGGTGGGGGGGGTGACTTTTCTTGGTCCGGCAGCTTGAGTAGCTGATCCAAAGCCCAGATGTTTGACCGCTGACCCTGTGGCCCCAGACGCTTCTTACACCTCCCTGGGCTGCTGGGAAGTCCTTGCAAAATCCTTCCAGACAGGACTGTCCTCAGGCAAGGTTTTCTGGGGACGGTGAACAGCAGAAACCCCCTAAAAGGCACTCAGGGTCACAGAGACTCAGGCAACTTCCAGCTCTCAGGAAGCCCCCACAACCCTGCCTTCTAGACCTTCCCCCTCTGCACTGGGGTCCTGGGCTCTGTGCCGATGAAAGGGGAGCCATGTAGGGGGTGCAGGAAAGGCCACGGGGCCTGTGGCCTGAACCGCATGCTCTGTCAGGAGTGAGGACACAGGACAGGGCCCTGTGCCACCGTGGGTCCCCGTGCTGAGCTGTGGAGAGGAGGAGGGAGGGAACCCTTAGCAGCTGCCCCTGCCCTCGCTCGGCGGCCTGAGGAGAATGATGAAAAGCATGGAGGCCGCCGAGCCTCCTAGGGCCCAGGCACTTCCCTCCGTATCTCAGTAGCTGATGGACGCTGCTCTAAAGGAGCACAGTGCAGCTCAGAGGGCCAAACGCCTCCACCTCCATCAGCACCAGCCCTGCCATGTGGGGATGTCCCCTCGTCCGTGCCGGCCCCCCGGGAACTGCACAGCGAAATCCTGACCTCGAGGCGGGAGACACGGCAGGCGGGCCACAGGCTGATGGCCTTGCAGCGTGGTGGCAGGAGCACAGGACCCTTCTCAGGGGACAAGGGGACCCAGAGACAGCATGTGGTAGGAGCTCCCTGGACAAGGGCTGCCTGCCTTTCATCTCTGGGGATAAAGGCCGCCTGGACCCTCTCCGAGGACCCACGGTGTTCGTGCTGCAAGCGTGTGCCGAGCACAGAGCCCGTGCTGCTCCCCTGGCCGGGTGCTGGGCCCCCGCCCTCACCGGCGCTGAGGGTCCTCAGCCCCGGCCCTGCCGTCTGGACGGGCCTGTCACTTCCCCTGCCTCCTCAGAGATTCATCTGTGAATCGGGGACAGAAAGGACAGTTACCTCCCAGACTTGAGATAGCACGTGTAAAGCATTTAGTACATTGTGCCTGGCGTATAAACACTTCTAAGAAAATCATTACTACATCTTAATAGGGAGGCCGCCAAATGAAGGGGAAGTTCCCGGGGAACCAGTGATGACAGGGCTAGGCTGTGTGTCACGTGCTGGAGCTGTGCCCGCACAGTGCTGAGGTAACCCTGATGCCAGCCCCTTTCCTGGGCAGCTCTGGTTTACCTGTATGACCTGAGGGCCTTAGCTGGGCAGCACCGCTTTACTTCTCTCACCTGGGCAGCACCGCTTTACCTCTCTCACCTGCTTGGCTTTAGCGTCTCAGGCCCCGCCTCTACCCCAGGTGTTTCTGGGAGGGTCAGGGGCGTCGCAAGCGCGCTTCACAAGGAGTCAGCAGAGGTCAGAGCCCATGTCTGAGGACCGGGGACTCCTGCCAGCACTCTGCCCACTGGTGGCCCGCGCGTGATGCACCCATAGCAGCAGGAGGGGGTGTGGCGCCCACGGCCAGGCGGCGCGTTACACTTTCCACCGGGTCCCGCCTCGGTCCCGGCCCCTCGGTGCTGACGTCACGCGGAGACCTCCCCGATTTCCGTGGCCCACGCCACGTGCCCACGCTGCCCCCCGCCTGGCACCGCCTCTGCCGGCTCCCGAGGGCGCAGACTGCGAGATAGGGGCGCAGCGGGGAGGACGGGGGGCGCACGGTTGGGAGCAACCGGAGTGCGCGGCCCGCAGGACGGAGGGTGCGGGGGAGGACCCGGCCGCGCGGCGAGGAGGATCGGGGCTGCGAGGTAGGGGTGCGGCGGGGAGGCCGAGGGGCGCGGGGACCCAGGGCGGGGACCGAGAGGAGACCGGCGGGCTGGGTGGGACGACGCCGGTACCCCGAACCGAGCGGGGCGCAGGGCCTGGGTCGGGAAGCCTTGGCCGCGCCGCAGCGCCGAGTCCAGCCGCGCAAGCCCCGAGGACGCCCTGGCGGCGGCAGGCGCGCTCGGGCGCGGAGTCCGCGCGGACACGGAGGGCGCGCTGGGGCGGGAGGTGGGGTGTCGGGGACCGGTGTGCCGAGGAGTGTTTGGTGCAGTGCCGCGCTCTGTGCTCCGCGCCAGAGTCGAGACTTCCCGGCCTGGGCCCGCAGAGGGGAGCCGGGGGAGGGAAGGGGCTCGGGGACCCCTCCTGGCCTTCTGCTCCCCACGGGAGGGCGACCTGCGGGCTGTTTTGCGTCCTGGCGATGGGAGCAAACAGGCTGTGGGAGAGCCCAGGGCCAGGCACGGGAAGAGGGCACTTCCTGGCCGGTCCAGTTGGGCATGGAACGCCCCCAGAGAGCCTGGGGGTGCGGGGAAGGGGGCCACATGACCACCTAGGTATTGGTGGAGAAGCCGGCCCAGTGCTGTCTTCCTGTTTCCCAGGAACACCTCCAGCTCAGAAAAGCAGGGTGTGGGCTTCCACAGCGGTGCCAAACTTGAGAATGCTGCCAGGGTCAGAGGGGAAGGCTGGGTCCTCCCCTGCCTGTCGTGGGAAAGGAAACTGTCAGGGTGCAGCCAGGGCAGGGAGGTGAGGGCCCTGCAACAGGAAGCAGGGGTCTGACGCGGAGACCCTCTCCCCGTGATCGCCGCCCTCGGTTCCCCTCTGAGCAGGTTGATACCTCCGAGAAGTGTGAAGCCACAAACCCTGTGCATCCCTTCTGCGTGGGGCTGCTCAGAAGGCAGCCAGTAGTGAATGGCTCGAGGCAGCTGCCGGGATGTTTTGCAAAGCGTATTCAGAATACCAAGAACCAGAGCGTGCTTTCTTGCCAAAGTCTGAGGCATCCGTCCAGTCGGATTGGGAAGCAGGTGCCCGGGCTGAGGGGTCTGGGGCCGCCTGCCCTTCCTGCAGCAGGTCCTCCCATGGGAGTGGAAGCGGCCTGTACCAGCACACGCCCTTCCCTGGCCTCTGGGCAGGACAGTGGACAGGTGAGGGGGACGTGGGCGCCTCAGGGAGAGGGGAGGCGGGCTGAAAAATTTGGCCGCGGTCCCAGTGTTAACAGGGGCAGGGCAGAGACATCCCACCGTGTACTGATGGTGAGACCTTCTCTGCTTCTGGAAGCCCACTGGCACTTTAAGAGTTCTGGCTCCAGTGTGAGGCATGGCTCTGAGATTGGACCTGGCCTCGGTTTCCCCATCTGAGACATGGGCGCTGTTAACAGCACCTGCAGCAGCGCAGGGTTGCGTGGCTTGAATGAGGTGATGCCTGCAGGGCTCAGGCGCGACGCCGGCGTCCAGCGCTCCGCAGCTGCTGCCCCACGTTATGGGCAGAGGAGAGCGTTCATTGTTGCCAAGATTAGCGGGCTGGCGGGTCGCGGAGAGGGCTGGGAAGGCCCTGCTCTGGCTGCGGCTCCCTCGCTCGGCACCCCCTGGCCTGGGGCTCAGCCTCGGTCTCTGCCCACGTCCAGCTTCTGCTTCTGCACGAGGGGTGGTCTTGTGCAGAAATGACCTGGCAGGACCGAAGGGTCAGGGTTTCCCTGAGTGACCCAGGAAGAGAGTGTGGCCGCCCGGGCGTCTTGAGAGGAAATGCTATCTGGGCAGACAGATGGCCGGACCCCAGAGAGAGTGGAACCCATGCGGATGGACAGGACACACCTGTCACACACCCTGGGGCCCAACCTAGAGCCTCCCGTTGACCTGCCAGCCCGCGCCGGTCCGGGGCCAAGGTGGCCACTTCTTCCGAGCTCTTTGGGCTTCTGCGTGGCTGTTAGGCCGGAGGCTCTGCACCGGGGCAGGTGCTCTGGGCATCTCTGCCTCACACCAGGCCCGTCTTTCCCACGTGGATGCTCCAAACACACGCGTGCTCAACACGGCCCTGCGGGCCTGCAATCAGTTGTCCCCGGGGGAGAAGTCAGAGTGAAACGGTGGTTCTCCAGGTGTGTTCTGGGGACCCTCACTCAGGTCACAGCAGCGCTCACAGCAGTACCGAGCCGTGGCGTCAGGGGGGCGCTGCTCGTGAGGCGGTGCTTTGTGCCCTCGTGTTGCGCACACAGCTCCCGTTTTAAGTTCAGACACAGCGTATGATCGATGTAACCGCATGAACCAAAGCTCTCAGGATCCCACACGGCTCATAACGGTGTAGACGGGCCCTAAGGTGGAAATGCTTGCGGCCTCCTTGGAAACACCGCTTGTGCCTCGGGTCCCCGTGGCGCACAGGACCAGAGGGACCTGGCCGGTTCTGGGCCATCTGAGCTTTACAATTTGGGCCCAAGTCATTCCTGGGATGGACGTGCCAGGGCCCTTGAACTTTTGGTAAAAGTAGGCATTTTTCGTTTCCCAAGGCTTTGCCTGGCTTTGAGGTGTTTGCTGGCAGTGAAGGCCCTGAGCGGGGTCGGTGGGTGGTAAGGGACAGTGGGTGCTGGCAGGAAAGACTCTTCGGGGGTGGGAGAAGGTCCTGCACATGAGGCCCAGAGTGACACTAGACAATATTTATTTTTATTGCCTTTTATCGTCTGCCTTACTTCTCTGTCAGGAGTCAGGAGTACTGTGTCTGACTCCTGGTGAGCTGTGCAACCCTGGGCAAGTGGCCTCGCCTCTCTGAGCCTCCATGGCCTTGCCTATAAGACATGTGAATGCTAACAGCTGTGTTTCAGGAAGTTGTGGGTTCAGAGGAGGTGCTGGGTCAAGAAGTGACTTGTGGTTTATAGATGGTGGACCTGTGAGGAGGGATGTCCTCGGACGTCGGTGTCTGTCTCACTTTCACCTCCTTAGCAAAGCTGTGACACAGACCCTCCTGGGCGTCTGGAAGGCCCCCGCGGCCTCAGAGGAGCAATTTACAGGCCACTCCCAATTACAGAAAGAATAATTCTGAGCTGGCTGTGACAGCAGGGAATGCTGTAGCGGTACGAGAAGCCTCCAGCTCGCTGTGGGAGGGTGCTGGTGAGCGGAGGGTCTGGGGAGAGAGAGCCCAGAGCAGGTACCGGGGTCCCGTGGGCTGCATTTCGAAACAAAAATAAGTTGGTGAGATGCACGTGGTGTCAGCGCTCAAGGCCGCTCCCGGGGCTCAGGGCGGACCTTGGACTGCAGCTGGCACCTCCTCTCTGCTGGGTCCAGCCTCGCTCAGGGCAAGGGAGACAGGTGGAAGCGGACTGAGGCCCAGGGGGATTGAAGGTCACAGGGCCAAGTGCAGGTCAGAGCCCCAGCTGGCCTTCAGGGCGCTCCCTCCTCAGGGTTGCCTGAGCGCCCGGGTCCCTGTGGCCCACTAGCCACGCCTGAAGCTTCCTGGAGGGTCTGCCTTCACATCCAGGCCACCGGGGGTGCGGGGGGAGCTCCTAGAGCCTGGCTTGCAGCCTCACGCTGCTCATGTCAGCCCCTTCTCCTCGCCCCGGGGGTGGGGAAGGCCAGAGCTCGGGGAACACACGGCTTGGAGGCTGCACGACGTGGCCCTGCCTCCCTCCCTCCCTCTCCCCCCTCCCCCCCCCAGAACCACGCCGGCCTCCCCGCTGCCCCTGCACCCCGCTGTGTGCGCTGTGTGTGTGCAGCGGGGCCTTTGCACATGCCCCTCCACTCGGGAGCCCCCCTGCCCAGCTCCCTCCTGCCAGTCTGCCCAGCTTCTCAGTGAAGCCGCTCTGGTCACCCTCTGGAAAAAGGCAGTGCAGCCCTGGCCCTCCTGAGCCCCATGCCCTGATCGGCCTTCTCCTCTTCAGGTACCATTAATCACCTAACACATTAGACAATACGTATTTTTCTTGCCTTTTATGGTCCACCTAAATCTCTAGCATTCAAGCTCCGCGAGGCCAGGGACCCGTTTTATCCACAGGTGTAGGCCGAGCCCTATGGATGAATAGGAACACGGTGACTGTCGGGGCGGGGAAAGAAGGGAGCCACAGGGGCTCCTGTGCTGGGACCCTGCCCACCCGCCCCCCTTGGAAATGTTGACCATGTCCTTCTGGTCACACAGTCCTCACTGGGTCCTCCTGGCACATGGTCTGTGCTCCTGGAGAACGCGCCTCCGTGGCCCTTCCGTGCTCGGCCTGTGATGTGCTTCTCAAGTGGCTGGCGTTTTTCCCGACAGCCCAGGAGCAGGTTGTTCATCCCACTGCAGCCTGTCAGTTTCGCCCTAGTGTCTGGTGGCAGGGACGGGGGTCTGGGCAGGGGTCCTGAGAAGGTGGAGCCCTACCGCTCCCGGTGATGGACACGGGGCTACTTGAAAATCGGTGTGTTCCAAGCCCACCTCTGATTCTTATGTGCTGCGTGGCTCTGATTAAGCTAGTTTTAACCTTACTCTCTGCCTCAGTTTCACCCTCTTGAAAATGAGGACAATAACTGTCCCCGCCTCCCTGGGTGTTAGAGCCCCGCCTGGAATCAGCCGGGTATTCAGTGCTCTTGGTGATTGTTTTTATTTGCTGCTGACTACTTAGAAATCCGGGGCGCTGTGGGGTTGCCGCTTGGTGTGGCCTTTCTGGAAAGCAAATACAAATCGCTTTTGCACAAAAGCACAATTTATACAAATCACAATTTGGCTATACAAACCGAGTTTTTTTTTTTTTTTTTTTAATCTTTTGGCTGTGCTGTGTAGCCTGTGGGATCTCAGTTCCCCAACCAGGGATCGAACCTGCACCCCCTGCATTGACAGTGCAGAGTCTTAGCCACTGGACACCAGGGAAATTCCTTCAAATCGAGATTCTTTAAACATCCACACACAGTATCTTCTGGGAATCTCTCCTGAGGAAATGGAAACACAGAGCCATATGCGAAGATGTTCATTGTGGCGTTTTTGTCCAGCCATTAAAAATGGCATTTTTTTATAGACGGTTTAAGGATTTGGGAAAGTACTCATAATATACCAAGTCGAGAGGATGTAAGATTGCACACACAATTGGTTGTAAATTGGTAAAGTATATATGCAGAAAGAAATGCTTAAAGCTCTCTGCTGGCAGGGATCTCAGTAGGTCTTCAATCCTGGCTCCTTTCCCTTCATCTAAGCCAGCAATTAACTGAAAAAACGCACCCATGTGTGTATGTATGTGTGTATGTATGCACATATGTACATAATATCCCTGGAAAAAAATCACGTGTGTATAATTTTCTGGAGGAAGATTTATAAATTATACATGCACCCAATCTCCCCCCTTTATGAATATATGTGTATATGTCTACATGTACGTATATGCACACATACACACATATATGCATATATGCCTTTATTTTCTGGATGAACATTTTAAACTGAGGTTAGTTAAAGGGAGTACAGCCTCGTGTCTTTATTCTTCCCACAAAAACAAGGCCGTTCCTGTTTCTCCAGTTCCGCCGCTCCCAGCCTCGCGACTTGGTGTTCTGCAGAGATGGGTTTGCGCGTCTGCCTGACTTTCTAAATCAGGGACCCGCCGGAGCGCTGTTCTCCTTGGTCCTGATCTGTTACTTTGTGCATCTTCTCTTCTCTGGCTTGTTCCTTCCGTTGCCTCCCCCTCCGAGACACAGTCAAGCCCACAGCAGCCAATTCCTTCCCGGTAGCTTTTCAGGGCGTGCGGTGGGAGGGCGCATTGTTTCTGATGAACCCGGGATGTGATGCACCAGCCAGACCCTGCTCCTGCGTCGGGAGGAAAACCCCACTTTGTGAAGTGACTTTGTCACCGTTCTCCCCGCCCATCTGTCCCCCCACCCCGCCGCGTCTCCCCTCCCTGCCTGGCCTCCCCCTTTGTTGCTTCCCCACGTCTCCCTACTGATACTTCCGTGGTCGGCACGTGTGCCTGCCCCTCGCCTGTGCTAGGAAACTTCTGCAGCCGGCACTGTGGGGCTTGCTTTCCTTCCCCACAGACACTTGTCCAGCCCCTGGCTGGCCTGGCCACGTGGACTCGGGCATCGCGGCTTCATCCGCAGGCTCACGGGGCCCTTGCTGGGAAAGCCGGTGGCTGCAGGTGCTGAGGTGGCCCAGGCGGTGGGGTGACCACAGAGGGCTCAGGGGTGGCTGGTGTCCTGGTGGAGGGGCCTCTGGCTTTGCGGATGCTCAGCACAAGGGTGGGGGTATCACTGCCAGCGCACCCTCCCTCCTGAGGACTGGGAAGGGGCGAGTCCGCGCTGTCCTCACCAGGGTTCCATGGAAACCGCATCCCTGCTTTGGGGGAGGGAGGATGCTTCCCCACACTTGGTGCTGGTTAAAGACCCGGCCCCCGAGAAGAGGAGAAAACGGCGTTTCTGGCCTGGCTGGGTGCAGGTGCCGTGTCCTGGGGGGTGCGTTCCTCCCCACAGAGCTCCTTCCCCGGGCCTGAGAGAACGGCCGGAGGCTCAGCCGGGCGTCTCCCTGCAGGTGCCGACGGGCCGGAGGGTGTCCGAGCTGCTTGCTGCTGCCGAGGAGGTCCGACGCCAGGCGGAGCTGGACCTCGCAGGCCCTCGGCCTCTGGTCCACGTGCCAGAAGCCTACGTGGCCGCTGCACTCGGCCCGAGGGAAGGCCGTGGACGAGCTGGTGGCCAGGCCCTGGGCGGTGCATGGGCGGCCGTGGGGCCTCCCCAGCGTGGCCAGGCCCGTCATGCTGCAGTGCCGGCCGGCCCAGGAGTTCAGCTTCGGCCCCCGGGCCCTGAAGGATGCGCTGCTGTCCACTGATCCGGCCCTGCGGCAGCTCTACACGTCCACCTTCTCCCCAGCCGAGAGGCTCTTCCTGGCTGAGGCCTACAACCCCCGGAGGACGTTCTTCCGCACGCTGCTCATCCACACAGCTTTCGACTGGCTCCTCAGCCGCCCTGAGGCTCCCGAGGACTTCGAGACCTTCCACGCTGCCCTGGCGCCCCGGAAGCAGAGCCTGGCTCGGAAGCACATTTACCTGCAGCCCATAGGTACCTGCAGCCCGTGGGCACCGGCAGGCATGGGCGCCTGCAGCCCGTGGGCACCGGCGGGCATGGACGCCTGCAGCCCGTGGGCACCGGCGGGCATGGGCACCTGCAGCCCGTGGGGCAGCAAGTGGTGATGAGCTGGAGGGTGGCATCCTGGGCCATCAGGACACCCTGGGGCGGGTGGCGAGGGCCTAGATCTAGCATGAGGTGGGGATGTCTGTGCCCGGACCCCAGGCAGGACCTGATATGAAGGGGGATGTGCTGGTGTGCTTGGGATTCGGGGGTGAGACTCAGCTCTCCCCCCACCCCAGCTCCACACTGTTCAGAAAGCCCAGGGCCTTGGGACCCCTTGGGCAGCTCACTGCCCTGTTCTACCCGCAGGTGCTGCCTCATCCACCTGTACCCTCCTGGCCGTATCTTTTGGAGCCAGCGCTGTCCTAGGCACTATACTGGCTGCTTCCTCTGTGGTTCAGGGTGCTAGGGTCACGGTCACCCCGCTTCATCGGTTAGGACACTGAGGCTGGGAGGGGAAGTCACAGAGCTGGTGATTGGCAGAGGCAGGATTTGACCCCAGTGCCCTGCTCTTAACCCCGAAGCTGTACTTGGAGACACTGGCAGGGCCTGGCGGGGACTCGGGGACTCCTGCCTGGTCCTCCAGCGCTCAGATTGGGGACACCAGGTGTGAGGGGCTGTGCGTGGACCAAGGGCTGAGATGCCTCGGCCAGGCTCTCCGGGGCTTGCTGGCCGGGTGCTGGGGATGAGCGGGCGGGCCACTGGTTCTGCATGCCAAGGCAGGCCTTGCCCCACGCAGGCTCATTACCCACCCTCCTGCCCCTGAAGACCAGAGGCCTGCAGGCACCTCTCCTGTTCCATTGCCCCCGGCCAGTTGGCCATCTCTGTCTGTAGACTCTGCTTCCAAACTCCCAAACCATCCATGTTGTCTCCCCGCTGACAGCTCATCTTGTTAAAATGCGGGTTCTGGTTCCAGAGATCTGGAGTGGGCCTGGGCACCTGCATTTCTAATCACCTCCTGGGCAAGCCGCTGGCCTGGGGACACTACAGCCACTTTCTCCTGGCTTCCAGCCTTGGTCCGTGTCCAGGGTGCTGGGCACAGGCAGGTGGGGACTCCGAGGAGTGGGCAGGGGGCCTGATGGCACTGCTCCACCCCCAGATCTGAGCGAGGGGCCGGCAGGCGGCGCGCTCCTGGACCACCTGCGGAGCTGCACAGAGGCCTTCTTCCTGGGCCTGCAGGTCAGGTGCCTGCCATCAGTGGCGGCTGCGTCCATCCACTGCTCATCACGCCCCAGTCAGGACTCTGACAGGCTCCAGCTCCACACAGGTGAGTGCGTGCGGTGTGGGCACAGGTCAGGTCAGCGCAAGGGCAGGCGTCTGCCGCTTGGCAAAAAGCCCTTTTTGGAGGCAAAATGTGGGAGGGAGGAGCTTAGGAGAAGGAAGGAATCCCCCTGCTTTTCTTGGGGGAGGGAATATCTATTTCCCAGCCTTTAGAAAAGGAAGACTGAGGCAAGGGTTCCCTTCCCCGCTCAGAAGTGTCTGGAGACTGGACCACACAGCCCTCTGTCCTCCGGAAAACTCAAGGGCACGCAGAGCAGGTGCCGCAGCCTTCTAAGGCCCCTCTAGCTTTTTGTCTTTACAAAGCTCTCTGGCCCCATCATTCCCCAGGGGGTCACTGGCAGCTGGAGAATGAGGCTGGGTTGAGAGGCGTAGATGAGCTGGGGGCTCTCAGATGTACAGGAGACCCAGACTCAAGTGTAGGGAGGTCCCCAAGAAAGGGCTGGGGCTCTGTCTCTGGCTGATGTTGGACCTGGGATAAGTGGACTGATGTCTTCCATTAGTTGTGAGAAATTCTCAGCCATTATCTTTCTTCCACTACTGCCTCTGCCTCATTCTTTCCCCCATTGAGGACTCCAATGGGATGGGTGTTCACCCTCACTCTCTTCCCCTTTCCTTGTATTTCATCCCAGTTTTATTCTCACCCTCCAGTTAACTAATTCTATCTCTAGCTGCACCTAATATGCTATTAAACCCATAGATAGAGTTCCAAATTTCAGTTGTATTTTTCAGTTCTATAGTTTCTAGTGGATTCTTTTTCAAATTAGCAGTGTCACTTTTTAAAAATTTTATGGAAGTATAATTGCTGTCCAATATTATATAAGTTACAGGCATACAATATAGTGATTCATAATTTTTAAAGGTTATACTCCATTTATAGTTATAAAATATTGGCTATATTTGCTGTGTTGTACAATATATGCTTGTAGCTTATTTTACACCCAGTAGTTTGTACTTCTTACTCCCCTCCCCCTATATTGCCCCTCCTCCCTTCCCTCTCCCCACTGGTAACCACCAGTTTGTTCTCTATATCAGTGAGTGTGTTTCTTTTTGTTATATTTTGTTGTTATCTTTTTAGATTCCACATATAAGTGATATCATATAGTATTTGTCTTTCTCTGACTTATTTCACTTAGCAAAATGCTCTCCAAGTCCATCCATGTTGCTGCAAATGGCAATAGTTAATTCTTGTTTATGGCTGAGTAGTATTCCATTGTGTGTGTGTGTGTGTGTGTGTGTGTGTGTGTGTGTATGTATATGTATGTATATACACCACATCTTCTTTATCCCTTCATCTGTCGATGGACATTTAGGTTGCTTCCATATCTTGGAAACTGTAAATAATGCTGCTATAAACACTGGGCCTCATGTTTGGGGTGTTTTTGGATATATACCCAGGAGTGGGATCGCTAGATCATATGGTAGCTCTATTTTTAGTTTTTTGAGAAACCTCCCTACTGTTTTCCACAGTGGCTGCACCAGTTTACGTTCTCACCAACAGTGTACGAGGGTTCCCCTTTCTCCACATCCTAGACAACACTTGTTATTTGTGTTCTTTTTGATGATGGCCATTCTGAGAGGTGTGAGGTGGTACCTCACTGTGGTTTTGATTTGCATTTCCCTGATGGTTAGTGATGTTGAGCAGCTTTTCATGTGCCTGTTGGTCATCTCCATTTCCTCTTTGGAAAAATGTCTGTTCAGTTCTTCTGCCTACTTTTTAATCAGATTGTGTGTTTTTTTGATGTTGAATTGTATGACTTGTTTATATATTTTGGATATTAACCCCTATTGGTCATATCATTTGCAAATATTTTCTCCCATTCTGTAGGTTGTCTTTTCATTTTGTCAATGGTTTCCTTTGCTGAGCAAAAGCTTTTAAGTTTAATTAGTCCCTGTTTGTTTATTTTTGCTTTTTTTTGTTTTAGGAGGCGGATCCAAAAAAATATTGCTACAATTTCTGTCAAAGAGTGTTCTGCCTATGTTTTCCTCTAGGAGTTTTACAGCATCCAGTCTTACATTTAGGTCTTTAATCCATTTCGAGTTTATTTTTGTATATGGTGTTAGAGAATGTTCTAATTTCATTCTTTACATGTAGCCATTCAGCTTTCCCAGCACCACTTATTGAAGAGACTGTCTTTTCTCCATTGTATATTCTTGCCTCCTTTGTCATAGATTAATTGACCATAAGTACATGGGTTTATTTCTGGGCTTTCTATCTTGTATCATTGATCTATATTTCTGTTTTTGTGCCAGTACCATACTGTTTTTATTTATTTATTTATTTATTTATTTATGGCTGCGTTGGGTCTTTGTTGCTGCGCATGGGCTTTCTCTATTTGCAGCACGTGGGGGCCACTCTTCGCTGTGGTGCGTGTGCTTCTCACTGTGGTGGCTTCTCTTGTTGCTGAGCACAGGCTTTAGGCATATGGGCTTCAGCAGTTGTGGCACACAGGCTCAGTAGTTGTGGCTCGCAGGCTCTAGAGTGCAGTCTCAGTAGTTGTGGTGCATGGGCTTAGTTGCTCTGCGGCATGTGGGATCTTCCCAGACCAGGGCTCGAACTTGTGGTCCCCTGCACTGGCAGGAGGATTCTTAACCACTGCACCACCAGGGAAGTCCCCCAGACTGTTTTGATTACTGTAGCTTTGTAATATAGCCTGAATTCAGGGAGTGTGATACCTCCAGCTCTGTTTTTCTTTCTCAAGATGGCTTTGGCTGTTTGGGGTCTTTTTTGTTTCCATACAAACTCTAAAATTATTTGTTCCAGTACTGTGAAAAAAATGCCATTGGTAATTTGATAGGGATTGCTTTGAATCTGTAGATTGCTTTGGGTAGTATGGTCATTTTAACAATATTGATTTTTCCAATCCAAGAACATGGTTATATCTTTCCATCTGTTTGTGTCATCTTCAATTTCTTTCATCAGTGCCTTTTTTGTTCTTCCGAAAGAGAGACAAAGTAGAAACACTTTGCATTCTTTTCAATACGAACAGCAAGATATTGATGCCAAAATTTTACAGACATTATTAGTAAGGAAATTGGAAACCAATTTCTCATATAATAAGAACTCTAATGTAAAATATTAGCAAATCAAATTTAGAAATATGTAAAATACATTACAATTCACTTGTATTTATTCCAGGAACGTGAGGGTAGTTTAACATTTATTTATTTTTATTTTTGGCTTCATTATTCTCTCACTGTTTTTTTTTTTTTTTTTAATTGAAGTATAGTTGATTTACAATGTTGTGTTAGTTTCAGGTATATAACAAAGTGATTCATTTATACATACATATATATCTATTTTTTTCAGATTCTTTTTCCTTATAAGTTATTACAAAATATTGAGTATAGTTCCCTGGGCTATACAGCAGGTCCTTTTTGGTTACTTACTTTATATATAGTAGTGTGTATATGTTAATCTCAAACTCCTAATTTATCCCTCCCCCCCTTCCCCTTTGGTAACCATAAGTTTGTTTTCTATGTTTCTGTTTTGTATATAAGTTCATTTGTATCATTTTTTTTAAGATTCCACATATAAGCCATATCATATGATATCTGTCTTTCTCTGATTTACTTCACTTAGTAGGATAATCTGTAGGTCCATCCATGTTGCTGAAATGGTATTATTTCATTCTTTCTTATGGCTGAATAATATTCCATGTATGAATATACCACATCTCCTTTCTTTATCCATTCACCTGTTGATGGACATTTATGTTGCTTCCATGTCGGCTATTGTAAATAGTGCTGCAATGAACAGTGGAGTGCATGTGTCCTTTCAAATTACGGTTTTCTCTGGATACATGCCCAGGAGTGGGAATGTAGGATCATATGATAGCTCTATTTTTAGTTTGTTAAGGAAGCTCCATGTTGTTTTCCATAGGAGATGCACCAGTTTACATTCCCACCAACAGTGTAGGAGGGTTCCTTTTTCTTCGCACCCTCTCCAGCATTTATTATTTGTAGACTTTTTGATGATGGCCATTCTGACTGGTGAGGTGATACTTCATTGTAGTTTTGATTTGCATTTCTCTAATAATTAGTGATGTTGAGCATCTTTTCATGTGCCTTTTGGCCATCTGTATGTTTTCTTTGGAGAAATGTCTATTTAGATCTTCTGCCCATTTTTCGATTGGGTTCTTTTTTTTTTATATTGAGCTCTATGAACTATTTGTGTGAACTATTTGGAGATTAATGTCTTGTCAGTTGCCTAATTTGCAAATATTTTCTCCCATTCTGTAGGTTGTCTTTTCGTTTTGTTTATGGTTTTCTTTGCTCTGCAAAACTTTTAAGTTTAATTAGGCCCTGTTTGTTTATGTTTGCTTTTGTTTTCTTTGCCTTAGGAGACAGATCCAAAAAAATACTGCTATGATTTATGCTTTCCTCTAGGAATTCTATAGTATCTGTTCTTACATTTCTGTTTTTTTGTTAGAACCATGCTGTTTTGATTACTGTAGCTTTGTAGTGTAGTCTGAAGTCAGGGAGCCTGATTCCTCCAGCTCTGTTTTTCTTTCGTAAGATTGCTTTGGCTGTTCGGGGTCTTTCCTGATTCCATAAAAATTAAAAAAATTTTTTCTAGTTCTGTGAAAAATGTCTTTGGTAATTTGATAGGGATTGCATTGAATCTGTAGGCTGCTTTGGGTAGTATGGTCATTTTGACCATATCGATTTTTCTGATCCAAGAACATGGTATGTTTTTCTGTCTGTGTCATCTTTGATTTCTTTCATCAGCATCTTATAGTTTTCAGAGTATAGGTCTTTTGCCTCCTTAGGTAGGTTTATTCCTAGGTATTTTATTCTTTTTGATGCTATGGCAAATGGGATTGTTTCCTTAATTTCTCTTTCTGAGCTTTCATTGTTACTGTATAGGAATGAAACAGATTTTTGTGTATGGTTCTTTGTATTTCTGTGGTGTTGGTTGTAACTTCTTTTTCATTTCTAATTTTATTGATCTGGGCACTCTCCCTTTTTTTCTTGATGAGTCTGGCTAAAGGTTTATCAATTTTGTGCAGGCTTCTGGTGGGAGTGGCTGGTGCCTGCCCATTGGTGGATGGAGCTGGGTCCTGGTCCTCTGGTGAGCAGGGCCGTGTCAAGGGGTGTGTCTAGAGGTGGCCGTGGACTCAGCAAGTCTTTGGAAGCCGGTTTGCTGATGGGTGGGTTGTGTTCTCGCCCTGTTGGTTGTTTTACCTGAGGCGCCCCAACTCTGGAGCATGTCGATGGGTGGGGCCAGGTCTTGGTGCTAACATGGCAGCCTCCAGGAGGGCTCACACTGATGAATATCCCCCAGTATCTCCACCACCAGTGTCCCTGGACCCACAGTGAGCCATAGCTGCCCCTGGCCTCCCCAGGAAACCCACCAAGACCAGCAGGTTGACCTAGCCCAGGTTCCTATGAAGTCACTGCTTTTACCCTGGGTCCTGGTACACACAAAACCTTGTGTGCATCCTCCAAGAGAGGAAGGAATCTCTGTTTCCCCAGTCCTGTGGAGCTCCTGCACTCAAGCCCCGCTGGCCTTCAAAGCCAGATGCTCTGGGGCTCCTCCTCCCAATGCCAGACCCCTAGACTGGGGAGACTGGTGTGGGGCTCAGAACTCTCACTCCTGTGGGAGAACTTCTGTGATATAATTGTTCTCCAGTCTGCGGGTCACCCACCTGTGGGGTATGGGATTTGATTATATTGTGAATGTGCTCCTTCTACTGTCTCTTTGGGTTTCTTCTTTATGTCTTCGGATGTGGAATATCTTTTTTGGTAGGTTCCAATCTTTTTTACTGATGGTCGTTCAGCAGTTAGTTTTGATTTCTTGGTGTGCTCGTGAGAGGTGAGCTCAAGGTCCTTCTACTCTGTCATCTTGTCCCAGGATCTTTCATCAGTGTCTTATAGTTTTCCGAGCACAGGTTTTCTGCCTCCTTAGGTAGGTTTATTCCTAGGTATTTTATTCTTTTTGATGCAGCAGTGTCACTTTAAAAAAAATTTTTTTTAAATTTATTTGTTTATTTATTTGGCTGTGCCAGGTCTTAGTTGCAGCAGGTGGGCTCCTTAATCGTGGCTCGAGGGCTCCTTAGTTGCAGCAGGTGGGCTCCTTAATCGTGGCTCGAGGGCTCCTTAGTTGCAGCACGTGGGCTCCTTAGTTATGGCATGTGAACTCTTAGTTGCGGCATGCATGTGGGATCTAGTTCCCTGGCCAGGGATGGAACCTGGGCCCCCTGCGTTGGGGGCTCAGAGTCTTAACCACTGGACTGCCAGGGAAGTCCCAGTGTCACTTTTTTCATCATTCCCAATTCCCGGCTAAAATTACATTTAGCATTTATATCTATGAGCATAGCTGCTTTATAATCTGTGCCTGTGAGTCCAGCATTTCGAGCACCCGTGTTGCTCTTTCCGCTAATTCTGTCTTGGTTATTTTGCCTCATTGTGTGTCTTATTTTTGATTGTTAGCTGGACGTCTTATGTGAAAAATTAGTTTAACTTCTAGAAGAATTTGTGGCCTGGGATGCTGTAGTTTTTCTGCGAGAGGATTTTATTTCTCCTTGGCCAGGCATCTAAGGGAGCTGACGGTCTGGGCCACCCTGATGACCCCAGGAGTACAGCCTTCCTCTCCCTGGGTGCGGCCCTTTGGGGTAGCAGGCGGAGCAGGGGCTGTGTCATCAGGGTCACCTTTCCCATCCACCGTCTCAGAAACAGCTCAGCTTCATCTCTTGGGATTCTACTCTTCTCCCTGTTTCTAGTTTCTCAGTAGGTCTCTGGTGTTTTAAAAGTCCTGTTTATTGAGGCATAATTTACATATAGAGAAATTATTCCTTCTGGGTGTAACCGTTCTGAGTCCTGACACACACACACACACACACATCACGTAGCCATCACCAGAAGAGTGTGTAGAACAGCTTGCCTCGCCCCCCCCCCAAGCCTTCCTCCGTGCCCTCCTGTAGCCACCCGTCCCCCATCTTCAATGCCTTCAGAAGCTGTTCTTTGTGTGTCACTCGGCTTGTTTGGTTATCTTGTAGCGACAGGCAGTGTGCTGTTACAGCCGGCGTTGAGTTTCTGGGGCTGACAGGGACTACTGGCCGGTGGGTGCCGTCCCAACGGTGGCGTGCCCCTTTCTCTGTCCCAGACTGCAGCCTCGGTCCCTCGCTGGGCACAGCCCTCCCCCGCCCCCCCGAGGGTCTGAGCGGGGCCCGAGGAGCAATGGCCGGCCTGGGCCCCGCCGCTCCTGCCCCTTGCGGCGCCACCACGCCTGCCATTGCTTCCGCCCGACTCGGGGGAAACCCAGCATCTGTCCAGCTGCCCCAGGGGCTGTGGTGCCGGGGTCCGGGTGTCCATCTCTGCTGACTGCTGAAAGGACTGCTGTTTCCCCCGCCCTAGGCTTCGTGGGCCACTGGGAAGGAAGGGGGCCTGGGAGGGCTCACCCAGCAGGTGGCGTGCAGAGGCTGTGAGAGGTTGGATTCCCATGGTCAGATTACATGGTCCAGATGGCTGTGTTCGTTTCCTGCGGCCGCTGTAACGAAGCACCAACAACTGGGTGGTTTAAAACACAGAAGTGTATTATCTCGCGGTCCGGAGACCAGAATTCTGAGACCAAGGTGTTGGCCGGCCCTGTCCCCTGTGAACGCTCCGGGGGACCCTTCCTCACCTCCTCCACCCCTGGTGGCGGCCGGCGGTCCTTGGTCCAGCCTCGGCCTCCATCATCACGTAGCTTGTGTTGCTTCTCTTCTTAGAAGGACGCCAGGCGAATGGATTAGGCCCACCCTACTGACCTCACCTTAACTTGATTACATCTGCAAACCCTGTCCCCAAGTAAGGTCACATTTCAGGTGAAATGTGACCTTGCAGCCCCTCCTCCTCCAGAGCCGGCGCTGTGGCCCCTTCAGCTCTCTCTGACCCTCCTGCCTCCTCTCGTGAGGACCCTGGTGATTCCATCGGGTCCAGCTGGGTAATCCAGAATCACCTTCCCACTGGGAGACCTTTAATTTAATCCCATCTGCTCGCTTCTGCCAGGTGAGGAACACACGCACAGGTCCCGGGGATGAGATGCCACGTCTTTGGGGCCATCAATGAGCTGCCCGAGGCTGCAATGGCTCTTCCCACGAACACCGGTCTCATTGGCCCGGCGGCCTTTTTGGTGTCCCCACTTGGACTACCCTTTCCAAACCTGAGCTCTTTCTTTCCCCCGAGGCCCAGGCCTCACATGGTGCAGCTTGGCTGAGTTTTCGGCCTCAGTCTGAGTTTTTCATGGAATGTCACTAGCTTGCGTCCGACTGTGGGATGAGTTGGTCCCAGGCAGAGGAAGGGGGGATGGGCCCGGAGAGGGGCACCAGCTGCCTCCTCACTGGCCCCTCTGGCCCCGTCCCCGCAGACGGCATCCTGTCTTTCCTGAAGAGCAGCAAGCCGGGCGATGCACTATGCGTGCTGGGCCTCACGCTGTCCGACCTGTACCCCCGAGAGGCCTGGACCTTCACCTTCGGCACGTTCCTTCCAGGGCATGGTGAGCCGGCACCTGGGGGCCTCCTGCCTCAGCCCTGAGGCTTGGGTACAGGGCCTGGAACACGTGGGGATGTCATCCCCTCGCTGCTTCTCCCAGAACCCCTCCTGGGGGAGAGAATGGGCATATATGGAAATGCTCTCTTGAACCTGCAGCCCCAGTTCTCACCCCTCCTGGGCCAGGGGCTGTCTGCTTGGCAAACGCGCTGGCAGGGCGGGGCCTTTAGGACCTGTGCATCCTGAGGAGGGTGGCTTTGCCCGTGGGCTCCCTGAGCTGAGGCCACTCCTGGTGCCTCCGCTTCTCTGCCTCTCCCCAGAAGTGGGCGTCTGCAGCTTTGCGCGGTTCTCGGGGGAATCCCTGCAGCAGGGGCCCAGCACCCCTGACCTGGCCCCCGAGGCACCCCTGCAGGACAGAGGCCGGACCGTGTGCTTCAGCGCCCTGGGGATGGTCCAGTGCTGCAAGGTGGGTGTTGGGGTGCTGCCCAGGTGGCGGGAGGAGACGGGGGACAGGAAGAGGAGGGGCAGCTGGGGGTTCTGGCGAGCTCCAGGAAGATGCTAGGGTGTGGAATCAGACAGAAGGGCGTGAGTGGACAGCCATCGAGCCCTGGGTTCAGCCAGTTACGCTGTCCAGTCCTCACGGTGCTGAGGACCATCCTTCACTTTAGGGACTATGGCCACTTAGGCTCAGAAACGCCAAGTGCTTTGTCCAAGGTCACACAGCTCTCAAGTGGCAGGGTTGGGATTTGAGCCCTCATCTGACACCCAAACCTCCATGCTCTGAGGCCCCCAGAGCTGACCACACCAGCTTGCCTTTCTCCCCGCACCCAGGGGTCCCGGGGATCGGCGGGTGGCGGGCTCCAGGATGCAAGGAGGTGGGGACCTTCTCCCTCAGGTCACGTGCCACGAGCTCTGCCACCTCCTGGGCCTGGGGAACTGCCGCTGGCTCCGCTGCCTCATGCAGGGCACCCTCAGCCTGGACGAGGCCCTGCGGCGGCCCCCGGACCTCTGCCCCATCTGCCTTCGGAAGCTGCAGCACATCCTGGGCTTCAAGCTCGTGGACAGGTACAAGGTGAGTCGCGGGCAGGGGGAGGGGTGAACAGGTCTGCGGGTCTCGTGGGTCTGGCTGAGTCCCCCGCCAGGCGCCTGGCCCAGTGCCGGTGGCTGTCACCACAGGGGCGCACGGCTTTTATTTCCCAGGCAACCCTAATCAGAGCCCGTCTTTACCGGGCACTGACCGTGTACTAGACCCTGTCCTAGAGCTTCCTGTACTCGGGCCGGTTCTGGCATCACCAAGGGGCCTTCCCCAGCATCACTTTCTCCCTAATTGGCTCACAGCCCCTCCGGAGGAGGAGGCGGAACCAGACTAACCAAGAATCACTGTGGAAAGGCAGGCGCTGCTCTTAATCCGGCCCCGCCCTGCGCGGGGGCTGAGCCAGCGCGGCGATGCTGCCCTCTGCTGTCCGCACGAGGCACTGCCGGGGAGCAGGGCCCAAGAGGGACCCTAGGGAACCGGGTCCATCTGCTCCACTGCAGGGAGAAACCTTATCCAACGGAGAAGTTCGTTTGCAAACTCAGAAACTTTACTCTGAGTTCACAGTTCAAAGGCAGGTAGTGGTTATTTTCTCTTTTTAAAAATCTTTTATTATTTTTTAATTGAAGTATAGTTGATTTACAATGTTGTGTTGATTTCTGCTGTACAGCAAAGTGACTCAGTTATATATATATATATATATATATATATTTATATATATATTTACATTACGGTTTATCCCAGGATATTGGATATAGTTCTCTGTGCTATACAGTAGGACCTTGTTGTTTATCCATTCTATATGTACTAGTTCCAAACTCCCCATCCATCCCTCCCCCCCCCCCCCCCTTGGCAACCACAAGTCCGTTCTCTACGTCTGTTTCTGTTTTGTAGATATGGTCATTTGTGTCATTTCTTAGATTCCACATAGAAGTGATATCATATGGTATCTTTCTTGACTTCCTTCACTTAGTATGATAATCTCTAGTTGCATCCATGTTGCTACAATTGGCATGATTTCATTCTTCTTTATGGCTGAGTAATATTCCATTGTATACATGCACCACATCTTCTTTATCCATTCATCTGTCAATGGACATTTAGGTTGTTTCTATGTCTTGGCTTTTGTAAATAGTGCTGCTGTGAACGTAGGGGTGCATGTATCTTTTTGGATTAGAGTTTTGTCTGGATATATGCCCAGCAGTGGAATTGCTGGATCATATGGTAATTCTATTTTTAGTTTTCTGAGGAAGTTCCATACTGTTTTCTATAGTAGCTACACCAGTTTACCTTCCCACCAACAGTGTAGGAGGGTTCCTTTTTCTCCACACCCTCTCCAGCATTTGTTATTTGTAGACTTTTTGATGATGGCCATTCTGACCGGTGTATGGTGAAACCTCCTTGTAGTTTTGATTTGCATTTCTCTAATAATTAGTGATGTTGAGCATCTTTTTATGTGCCTATTGGCCATCTGTATGTCTTCTTAGGAGAAATGTCTATTTAAGTCTTCTGCCCAGTTTTTGATTGGGTGGTTTGTTTTTGTTATTGAGTTGTATGAGCTGTTTGTATATTTTGTGGTACGCAGGCCTCTCACCGCTGTGGCCTCTCCCGCCACGGAGCACAGGCTCCGGACGTGCAGGCCCAGCCGCTCCGCAGCATGCGGGATCCTCCCAGACCGGGGCACAAACCCGCGTCCCCTGCATCGACAGGCAGACTCCCAACCACTGCGCCACCAGGGAAGCCCTGTTTGTATATTTTGGAGATTAAGCCCTTGTCGGTCGCCTCATTTGCAAAAACTTTCTCCCATTTCATAGGTTGTCTTTTCGTTTGATTTATGGTTTCCTTTGCTGTGCAAAAGCTTGTAAGTTTGATTAGGTCCCATCTATTTATTTTTGTTTTTATTTCTATTGCCTTGGGAGACTGACCTAAGAAAACATTTGTATGATTTATGTCAGAGAATGTTTTGGCTATGCTCTCTTCTAGTTTTATGGTGTCATGTATTATGTTTAACTCTTTAAGCCCTTTTGAGTTTCTTTTTATGCATGGTGTGAGGGTGTGTTCTAATTTCATTGATTTCCATGCAGCTGTCCAACTTTCCCGGCACCACCTCCCGAAGAGGCTATCTTCTTCCCATTTTATATTCTTGTATCCTTTGTCGAAGATTAATTCACCTTAGGTGTGTGGGTTTATTTCTTGGCTCTCTATTCTGTTCCATTGATCCATATGTCTGTTTTTGTGCCAATACGACACTGTTTTGATTACTGTAGCTTTGTAGTGTTGTCTGGGAGGGTTATGCCTCCTGCTTCCCCCCACCCCCCTCAGGATTGCTGTGGCAATTCTGGGTCTTTTATGGTTCCATATAAAATTTTGGATTATTTGTTCTAGTTCTATGAAAAATGTCATGGGTAATTTGACAGGGATCACATTAAATCTGTAGATTGCTTCGGGTAGTATTGCCATTTTAACAATATTAATTCTTCCAATCCAAATGCATGGGATATCTTTCCATTTCTTTGAATCATCTTTAGTTTCCTTTATTAATGTTTTATAGGTCTCAGCATATAAGACTTTCCCCTCCTTGGTATTTCAATTTTTTGGTGCAATTTTAAAAGGTATTTTCTTTTTTACATTCCCTTTCTGATATTTCATTGCTAGTGTAAAGAAATGCAACCACTTCTAGTAGCGTTTGTGTGGAGTCTTTAGGGTTTTCTATTTATAGTATCATGTCATCTACACAGAGTGACAGTTTTACCTCTTCCCTTCCAATTCGGATACCTTTTATTTCTCTTCCTTGTCTGATTGCCGTGGCTAGGACTTCCAATACTATACTGAATAGAAGTGGTGTGAGTGGGCATCCTTGTCTCGTTCCAGATTTCAGTGGGAAGGCTTTCAGCTTTTCATCGTTGAGTATTATGTTGGCTGTGGGTTTGTCATAAGTGGCTTTTATTATGCGGAGATATGTTCCCTCTCTACCCACTTTGGTAAGAGTTTTTATCATAATGTTGAATTTCATCAAATGCTTTTCTGCGTTTGTTGAGATGAGCGTGTGCTTTTTGTCTTCTTTTGTTAAAGTGTGTATCACAGTGATTGATTTGCATATATTGAACCATCCTTGTGAACTTGGGATGAATACCACTTGGTCGTGGTGTATGAACTTTTTTAAAATCTGTTGGATTTGGTTTGCTAATATTTTGTTGAGAATTTTTGCATCTATAGTCATCAAAGATATTGGCGTGTAATTTTCTTTTTTGGTGGTATCTCTGTTTCTGGTATCAGGGTGATGGTGGCTTCATAGAATGTCTTTGGGAGTGTTCCCTCCTCTTCAGTCTTTTGGAAGAGTGGTAATTTCTTCTTTAAATCCACCTTTGGATGAAAATACCAAGTTAAAAAAGTTTTTTGTTCAAATGAAGGCATAGGCCCACCAACAAAACAGCTTGGACTCAACTTTAAGACCCAAAGTTTTAAGCCAGACGCTTTAAGTGAATCCCGTTGTGTCTGAGGTTCTGGGAAGCCCGTCCTCCTCTAGGAGATGGTCAGCTGCTGGAGCCCACTGGGTCCGGGGGCTGGACTCGGGGGAGAGGCTCTTGGACAGGCAGGAGTTTATGATCTGGTGCTCGTGGAGGGGTTGGCTCTGCGTTTCTAACGGGCTCCCAGGCTGCTGCTGGTCGGGGACCCCTGAACACGGGGCTGGGCATGTCCAGGTCAGAGCTGCCTCCCGGCCTGGGTCTCCCCTGAATGTCTCTGGGGTAAACAGCGCGTCGAGGGGCGCTGAGGTGGCGGCCTGCCTCGCTGCAGAGGGGACCCAGAGGCAGCGCCCCCGTAGGGAGGTGCCTCTGCTGCCGACTGGCTGACGGCGCTCAGCAGGATGCGCCGGGCGAGGGCGTCACCCGTCACCAGAGCGCCCGCCCCACCGAGCGCAGGGCTGGGGGCTCGGCTGTAAGCTGCCCATTATCCTCGTGTGCGTGTAAGGTGAAGCGGGCCAGCCGCGGCCTGCAGAAGGTCTGGGGTTTCTCACCACTTACTTTCTCGGGGTCTTGCTCGCCTACCGGATCCGAACTTTCAGGCCCTTCGTCCCCCTCCCCTGACGCATGCCTTCCTGCGACTCCTAACCTCGAGGGGGGGCGCCCTGGGCCTGTTCTGGATCTGTTCCCATCAGTCAGCGGTGTGCTGGTAAGCGCCCTCTAAAGAAAAAATCCTCGATTGGGCGTATCTGCCAGTTTCCATTGTGTGACGACTCCACCACGGCCGGTTCTGAGCCATCACGGAAGGAGAGTGGGGAGGAGGTGGGCAGTAGCTGACCGCGGGCGTCTCTGATGCCCGGATGCACCACGCGCAGAGGTGCTAGTGGGATGTAGGAAAACCATGATTCCCTTTGCTTTGAACAGAGTGTTAACAGGTCAGCTCAATTTATCCACGAATAACGGTCAGGCTTGCAAAGCTCCTGCAAGTTCGCTGTCTTTAGAGGCCCCATTCCGAGGGCCCTTGTGGCACCAGACTGCCACTCGCCCTGGGTCGTGGGCACAGTGGGGTCCCCTCGGGAGAGGGGCTGGGTCTCCTGGCGGCTCCCTGGCAAGGGAAGGGGCCGGACAGGCCGACTCAGCCCGCGTCTCTCCCTCGTAGAGACTGTACACCTGGACGCTAGAGGCGGCGGGGACGCGGCCTGGGCCGGCGGCCGGGGAGCCGTCCGTGTCGGAGGACACCCTGCCCTGCAGCGCGGACTCGGGCCTGTGCGGCGAGAGCGACTCGGAGCCTGGCAGCGGCCTGTCAGAGCCCCTGTCCCCGGACGCCTGGAGCCACGCCTTCCCCGCGGGCCCGGAGCTGGAGCCTGAGGACGGGCTGGGCTCCCTGGCGGCCGCGGAGAGCCCGGGGGAGGCCCTGGCGGAGCACGGGCGCTGGCTGGCGGCCTGCATCCAGGCCCTGGAGAGGGACGTGACTGAGGAGGAGCTGGCGCGGGTGGACGGCGCCGTGGACGCCCTGGCCCGCTGGGACCTGTTCACGGGGCGGCTCCCGGCCCCCCGGCAGGACCCGCCCTGCGGCCGAGACGGCGCGGGGCTGCGCCGAGTCCTGGGCGACAAGTTCTCCTCCCTCAGGCGGAAGCTGAGCGCTCGCAAACCGTCCAGGGCCGAGGCGTCCCCGCGGCGCTGGAAGGCAGAGGACAATTAGCACGGCTGCCGCGTCTTGTCCAGCACGGCTGGTGCGTCTCGTCCAGCGCCTGCCTGTCCCCAGGGCGCTGCGGGCCCGGCTGTGGGCGGAAGGGACGGTGTCTCGGGAAGCGGAAGGCGATCCGTCTGCACGTGGACCCCGCACCCCCAGCCCTAACCGCAGCCTCACGACGCGGCCGGGTGGGGGGGGCGGGGTCCCAGGTACCCCGAGGGCCGTCCTCGGGCCGCACCCGACCTCACAGAGCAGGTGCCCGGCAGGTGCCTGTCTGTCTCCTACGGCCTGGGGCTCGGGGCTCTGCTACGGCGAACTCAGATTGCAAGGCCCCAACGTGGGTCCTCCGCTCGAAGGGGGGGCAAAGGGGGTCTTGTTGCAACCTACAAGGTCCCCCGCCTCCCCCGACCCCAAGCCCATAGAAAGGGCCCCTTTCTGCGGCGCAAACCGCACTCTGACCCTTGGAACTTGGCGTGGGCGTCTCCCTGAAAGTTCCGGGTGGCCACCACCTACCAGACCACGTGCCCAGAGACGTGCCACTTCTTCTGACAACTGTTGCGGGAAGGGAGGGTGTCCCGTGTGCAGGTCTGAAGGTGCTGCTGCGTGCTGTGACTTGCAGAGGTGAAAGCAAACCGCGGCTCCTCCATCCTCAGGACAGTTTTCTGACAAAGGTGGCCTGGACCCCAACACCAGTGAGGGCAAGGAGATGAGATTTGTTCAGAACACCTGTGTCTGTGTTTTTTTGGTCTCGTTTGACCAGTTGCTGAGAGAACAAGTGATTTAGATGTTAAAATACCCATCACCCCAGTAGAACTGTCTGTCTGCCTTTAATTTCGTCAAACTTTGCTTCCAGTTCTTGGAAACTCCTTTATGTGCAACACACACATTTGACTGTTAGGTTTTCCCGACCGACTGACCATTTTCATTATCAAGTGCCCCGGGCTGCTAAGGAGCCCCGGGGAGAGACGCCTCTCGTCCGGACGGCAGAGCTCCCGCGGAGTGATGGGGAGTCGCAGCTACTTCCCATCTGGAGAGAGGCACGAACAGGAGCAGCTCCTACATTTCGTGCATAGCTTAGACAGTTTGGGGGGCCTTCTAAGAAAAACAGTACAAACTACAAATATAGAATCAGGAGGGTCACCCCCCCAAGCAAGGACGCCTGAAACCTCCTTGTGATGTAGGTTCCAGCCCCAGAAAGATGGAAGGGATGAGACCATCCTGAAAATAAAGCAGCAAGGACGCAGCTCTTCAGACCCGCATTCTCTTTCTCATGGGGTTGAAGATGCATCACAAGGATTCAGAGGTAACTGATGGGGAGAAGAGGACGAGCCAGGCTCCGCAGAAAGTGTGCTGGGGCCAACCCCACAGACAGCGTGATGGAGGAAGAGAAGGAGGCCTCGGTGTCTCTGTCACTGTGAACAAACCACTCACCCCTTAGTGGCTTAAAACCCCAGCAACCTATCCAGCTCAGCTGCAGTGTGGACAGAGCTTGGTGGGGAAAGTTTACCCCTGGGGCTGGGCTGGAGAGTCCTGCTCTAGGACGGCTCACTCACGGGGCTGCTGTGTGATGGCCGAGGGCCAGCGCCTTGGTCCTGTCCGGGTGGCTTGGGCTTCCGTGTAGTATGGCGGCTGGCTACCAAAGGAGGGATTTCCTGGAGTCACGTGGAAGACGTGTAGCCTCTCAGGACTCAGCCATCCTCCGTTAAGGCCGCCTGAAAGGCTCACCCAGGCTCACACACAGGGAGGGGATGTAGATCCCACCTCTTCATAGGGGTGTGGTGAGGTTCTGGAAGAGCTTGGGAGGTGAGAAAACATTTAGGAAAAACCTGCCCCAGTTAGCATTTGCTGCTCAGATTGGCCATCATACCTGCGGCAAAATCTTACCTGTTTTTCTTCTGCAAAAGATTAACGACTGGAATGATGTAAGCACACACACAGGTGACGAAGAGAGAAGAGCCTGGCTCAGACTGAGGGAGGGAGCTCAAGAGGGTCGTTACATCAGTTGCAGAGGGAGGACACTTTTTAAAGCCAGCTGCTGGGAGGAAAGTTTTGAAATTAAAACGTTTAGGAGCAGAGATCATAGCTTCCTTCCCCTGCTCAAGTATCAGCCCAGGTTCTGCCCCTGCTGGGGGTGGAGAGCAGTTGGGGACAGTCCCCAGGGAGCGGCTTTTGGCAGAGGAGGGGATAACGAACGCCATCTCCCATAGCAAAGTCACGGCTCACCAAGTTCAGGCTCAGACATGGTACAGCTGGGCACCTTAACGGGGCTGAGCTGAAGTAGCTTCAGATAACGGTTTCCGAGAAACAAGGGCCTGGTTTTTACTTATGCAAAAGCACCAAGTCAGTGTCATCTCATCTCATGCTCTCTCATCTCCTTATCTGTCAAAGGCCCCCCTGCAAGTCAGGAGGAGAGGTCTCCGAGCTTTCCCACGGACCCTCTCGGAGCCCCTCACTCTCTGGTGGGACTGGGTGGAGGGGCTTGAATGGAGCGAAAAATACTTTGGGGTCGTGGCGTTGTGTCACCGTTCCCGTGTGAGATGGGGCTGGGACATCCACGCGTGCCTTCAAAAGTAGCCTCAACACATGTGGAAACTGTGCCCTGGTTAGGGGCGATGGGAAGCAGGGCCCTGGTCAAGAGGTGGCAGACCCTCTTCCTGCCTCTCCTCCTTCCCCCTCTTCCTCCCCAAAGCCCCAACTCATCATCGGAGGGAGAGGAGGACCGTTCTCAACTCCTTCCTCCCCACCTGCGGTGCAGGAAAGTGGGATTAGCCCGGGAGCCCCTCCGCCGGCCCCCCTGTTTCCAGAGCGTGGGTCGGGGGAGGGATGTGGGCCTGTTAATACTGTCCCGTGGGACATCTGATTCAGACCTTTCTGGGAGGAAAGCAATCTCTGAAAGGGCTTAAAAAAATAAACACAATAGCTTAGCCAAGCAGCTAATATTAAAGCGAAGAGTCCAAATTTAGATCCCACCAAGTTCAAAGGAGCGGCTGTAGCATTCCAGGGACGGACACACACACACACACACAAGGTCCATTCGGGGCCACAGGAGCTACTCTCCAGACCCGCCAGGCAGGGCCAGGCGGCTAGACCCTCATCTGTCTGCGGAAAGACAGGGAGCTCGTCCTTGCAAATAAAGCCCCCCTTTGAACCTGTCCTTCTAAGTACCAGGGAATTTCTTACATCCCTGCAAGGTAGATACCTTGATCCCATTTTATGGTTAAGGGAGCTGAGAGGTTTGCTCATCTGCCTGAGGCTGCAAAGCAGGGCCTGAGATTCCCAGCGGGTTTGCTCTGACTTAGCCCTGCGTGTTCCGGGTCTTAGGAAAGCACACCGGGGAAGTCTGAGCAGGCAGAGAGTCAGGAGGAAAGCACAAGGCTTGGGAGGCCTGCACCCCGGGCTCCGTACTTGGTCCGCAGCCCTGCTGGCTCTGCCCTGGCTTCTAAGGTGGCCAGGAAGCTGCCTAGTGGCTGCAGCACTTCTGGGCCAGAGACTCCCCAGAGGGCCGAGGAATGGCCTGGGTGGGTGGGTGGCCGGCTCTCGGGCGAAGATGCCAAGGTAAACAAAGCCCGGAGTTGCTGGGGCTTTGATTTGTTTGTATAAAGAGGGCGAGTCCCCAGCAGGACTATTTTTACCCTGGTGAAGACGGGGAGGAACAGGGCTTTGCCGGGCGGCTCCCGACCTGAGCTGGAGCCCACGCGCCCTGGGAGTGGACAGAGGCCTCTTCCAGGCCGCCTTCGCCCGCTGCGGCCAGGCTGCAGAGGGCGGCTGGCGCCGGGGACCCGAGGCCCGGCCGGCCCTCGACCCCCGCCTGCCCCAGCGCTGGAGTCTCTAGCGGAGCCAGATCCATCCTGGTGGCTGTAGGGACGACTGTCCACAGAGGAGCCCGGTTCCAAGGAAACCCCAGGAAGCAGCAGATTTACGGCCCCTAGAACGACAGGCTGTGGAAACTAAGCGCCGAGAATAATCTGGGAAATGCCTACTGCGTGGCTGACAGCACCACTGCCTTGGGAGCTGCTGAAACCCGTGCGAAGAGCCTGCCTCTTCCAGCACCTCCATCTGGGAGAGCCCAGAATAACCGAGGCTTGTTTTTGAACTCTGCTTCTTGGGTAAAGAGATGGATGAAAACGAGCTACGTCAGGGGTTTATTTTAAAAAACAATTTCCAAGAGGCGTCCCAGGGCCACAACGTGTTCAGTCCAATGCCCCCACCCCAGCGGCGAGCCAGGGCGGCCGAGGACGCACTGGTCAAAAAAGCGACTCCTGGGCTGCTGGAGGGGACCCGTGGGGCATCCCACCTAGCGCACGACCCCGGCTCTCCGCACACTAGCTGGAAGGGAAGCCAGGTCCCCCGGGAGGCCACCGCACGTGCCTTGCCCCAGCGCTTCCGTCAGCATCCTCTCTGCTGAGCCCTCCTGTCCTCCCCGGCCACGGCACAGCTGAAACGCCCTACGGCCAGGCCTGCGTGGCTTCCCTCATGTCCCCCGGATCGTCTGAGACATTTACCGTGGGGTCCTTACGGTGTCCCGCGGTCACCACGGGGATATCTGTTTGACGGCCTCTCACTGGCCGGTGATCAGCGGGGAACCAGTCAGGAAACCCGCTCCCAGGCCGGCGCGGCACCTGCAGTCTGCACTCACCTGCCACAGGGACGAGGCGGACGAGGCGGGAGGCTCCTGGGGCGGCGCTGACCCGCCAAGGCCGACTGGCTCCTCCTCTTTCCCTCCTTCAGCCTTTGAGCCACAAAAGGTGATTTATTTTCACTGTTTCTCGCAGTGCCTGCCCAAAGCAAGAGGGGATTTCAAAAGGGGGGCGGGGCTGACCGTCTACGCTGGACGGTGGTTGCGGCCGAAGCTGGGGGGATGCTGGGGGCCGGCGGGGAGCGGGGGCTGTGTCTGCCTCTGTCCTCCTGCCCAGCTCGGACTGTCAGTGGGGACGCCCCTGGGGAAGCCCTGCCTCCCTCCTGGTTCAATGGGGGGACGGAGCTGGTGGCAAAGGCGTTCCTGGAAGGAGAGGAGAGAGCCCCACAGGGGCCCAAGGGTACAGACAGCAGCTCTTCCGAGAGCAGCACCTCGTGTCAAAGGCAGGGGCGCAGGGGAGCACGTCCACCTGTGCCAGCAGCAAACAGCGCAGGGAGGGGCTCCCCATCTACCTGAACTGGCACCGAGTCGTCGTCCGCCCTTGCCCCTGGGGAAGGACCAGGGCCGTTCCTCTGAACGTCCGTTTGGGGAGAGTCCCCTTCGGTGGACAGCGGGGACAGCGTCTGGCGTCTGGGCTGCCATCTCACCTCAGGTGAGCAGGACCCAGGCTGCGGGAGCTTCTGGGAGTAGAGGTCGACACTCCTCTTTCTTCCTCTGTCCTCGGGCCTCCCCGGCCCTCTCCTGCTTCTCCCTGAAGCAGCCGGTAAAAGTGGGGCTCCCGTTAGCTCAACCCCGGCTTGTCACAGGCTCCGAGCAGGAGCGAGGCCTGAAAAAGGTGAAGGAAGGTCCAGGGGGCCGTGGCCCCTCGGGCCCCCCATTGTTGGCCCCCAACACAGGCCTTTCTCAGTGGCAACACCTTCGTCGGATTACGTGAGCTTCAATCACAACTTGATTAAACGACTCGATCGGCCTCGTTCTTACGTTTAAAAGTCCAGAAGCCAAATGGAAACACACATACACGTAGGCATCTTAATACTGGGATAATGGATGACTTCGACGTACAGAATAAATTCTGTGTAATTCAACTTTTTAATGCTTACATATTACATTTTCCATCTCCGAATTAATGCTACAAAACCTGAATCCTGAGGGAAGAGGATGAAATTCTAGAAGTCTAACTGAAAACAAGAGAATTCATCCCTTGAATGTAATAAGTAGTTCCTTCTTGCTTGGAACGCACAGTGCCCGTTAGAATCTACTTGCCGTGTGGCCAGTGCTTTCACTGTGTGTGCACCTTCTAGAAACGGAATGGTCTGTTCTCCTCCTTGGAAGGGCCTCCTCTCAGAGACTCAGATCCTTGTTGATGTGGACAGACTGGGAGAGTCTTTATTTATCCACGACACGTCCACCCAACACACATCCACTAGACACCTCTTCTGCTCTGGTCACTCTGCCCAAAGTTTAAAAAAAACCTTATCCACTGCACTGGCTCACTTCATAAATGCTTGTTCCCTGTATCCATGCTTCTCAGGGTGAAGGTTGATGTTTCTGATGTGACATAACAAAAAGGCTACTTTTTCTTTTTTTGGGGGGAGTGTCATTATTTCTACTTATACTAACATTACCTACAACACTTTTTCTGCGGTGACCCTGGAGGTCCGACGTTGTCACTCAGCTGTGTTCTTGCATTTCATCCAGACTACAGTCTGTACTTGTGACATCGTTGAGACATGCCTGACCCTATGGTTGAGTAAACACTGGAGAGTACGTGGGATCCCTGCCAGGGAGGGGACGGGATGAGGGAGCAGAGTCCGAGGCCCAGACCCCAGGCTCTAACCACCCACCCACCCCTCTCCTGCCCGGTGCCCACTGGAGCCCTGGCCACCCGCCCCAGGGGTGGAGCTTCACCCAGGAAGCTGGCAGACACAACAACGAACACGCACTCAGGGACCCAGTAACATGCTCCCTGTTCAGGGGGCCTCGCTCGTGGCTGCCGCGGGGCGCCAGGGACGCAACACACCAGAAGAATGTAATTTACGGCAAGTTTTAATAGATTTATAAAAGTCGTATATACAAAACATGTTAAACTAACCCCTGTAGCTATACAATACACTTTTTACACTGCATCATGTACCTCTTAACCTGGAACACAGCATCCGTAAACCAAGGCCTGTCCCCCATTGTTGGTGCCATTATGGGGGGGAGGGGAGGGGTGTGGAGCTGCAGCGACACCCCAGGGGCGGCGCCCGTGGCCCAGCACTCGGCTGTTGCCCTTGAACTTCCTGTCCAGTGGAGAGAGCCCGGAAGAGCTCAGAGCTCTGCTTCTGCAGCCGCTGCCACAGCAGATTATCCCCACAGCCCTGCCCCGCCACGGGGTCCCCCACGCACCGCAGGGGCCCCAGCACAGCACTGAGGAGGTGAGCTGAGGACGTGGCAGAGCGCAGGGGGCCGAGCACACAACACTGAACTGCGCTCGTGTCAACAGAGAATAACACGCCTGCCAATTTTAGCTGCTTCGAATGGAGTGAAGGAAAAGACACTCGGAATGTTTTGCCATTTGCCTAACAGGTCAAAAGGTAATGCTTTAAGATCCTAGAGACGGGCAGACTCAATAGAGATCTCTTTTAAATTTCTTGATAAACAGGCTTGTTAGAGAATCTAACAGTTAAGATGACGGGCAGGAAGTTTCACTGGGTGCCCGTGAGCCCTCCTGGGACAGGCCTTGGCCCCGGCTTCCACAGACTCCGCAGTGAGAGCTCTGGCCACCTGTTTGCCGGTGAACCTGGAAAAGGTGCCCGGGCTCATCCAGAAAGCTTGGGTGAAGAGGGAAGCCACGGAGAACCGGCTTTGTTAGCCCGACTGTCAGATCAAGGCTGGTTCCACGTTTGTGACCTGAGTTCCAGAGCCTCCTAGGCGACAGTGCTCTCTGCCCAGCGTGGGCACGGACCTCTTTAGAGGGCAGCCGGACAGACGGTGGTGAGGAGACCTCCTGCGTCCCCCAAGGCTGCGGGGGGCGTCCCCGGGGGCCGGGCACTGAGCAGAGGGACTGAGGCCCCAGGGCAGAGGGTTCAGCCGCAAGGCGCGTGGCAGTCCCGTGAGATGCCGTAAAGCGCCCAGGCTGCTGTGGCAGCACACCCGGCCAGTTGCCACTCAGGGTGGGGCCTCCTGGAACCCCATTCTCAGTTCCTTCCCGACTGGAGAAATTCTGAAGTCGGCTGAAGAGCTGGGCCCCTGGACCAGCACTGGGAAGCAGCAGAACTCACAGCGGAGGGCCTGTTTCCCCCGACTCACAAGGGTCATGCTCTCAGCTGCCCCTACATTGGACTTCTCTTGGCCGGACTCCGGGTCAGCCTCACCAGGCGGAATGCGCGGTCCACCCCTCCCCAGTGTCCACACCGCCTGGGCCACCAGAGCGGTCTGGCTCTGCAAGCTGCCGGGAAATGCGGTCCCCCGGGGAACCTCCACCTTGACTGTGAATAGCTGCGGTGATGTTCATTTGGGGGAATCACTCGGCTTTTGAAAGCACAAAATAAACTGTGTTAATAAAAAGGCGCCCGATGACAAGCCTGGAACAGACAGATCAGGACGACTGTGAGCCCGCGCGGCTCAGCCCCGTCTACAGTCTGCCGGCCGCGCAATCAGAGTGCCGGCTGCCTGCCCGGGAGGAAACTTGGGCTGGTCCAGGAACCCCTAGTAGCTGCTCTAGTGTTTCACTGTGGTTTGTGTTACACACACACAAAGAAAACCATCGGAATAAAAACACTACCTTCACAACCAGCTCAGAAGCGGAGAACCCAGTTTCCAGGGGGAGCCAGGTGTGCGCTTCTCTGTGAAGCGAGCCACGGGGCCGCGTTCACAGCAACAGTCTTCGGGTCCCTATAATAAGCACCTCACAGCGACGTGCCAAGGTCCTCGCTGGATCTGAGGAGGAGGGAGGCGCCATAGGTCGGGTGGGATACAAGAGCAGTTCCTGCCTGTTCTCAGCTACTCCACACCCTAATCGCAGGCTGCCGGGGAGGGCCTGCTGCCCTACGAGTTCTGCGTTTTGGGGCAGGAATCTCATGGTCTATTTCTGAGTTCCACCCCATTTCCTACCTCTTGCTGTACTCAGACGCCGATTCCCGGGAACATCCATCCTGCCAGGATGCTTGAGAACTCACTCGGGCTGGCAACATCCCGCTCCTTCCTGCGGTGACCTGGGGCGGGAGCCTCGCGTAGCAAGTTCCCATGCTGAGCAGCGCTCCGCTCTCCTAGGGGCTCACGACCACCGTCAGGGTCAGCAGAACCCCTGCAGGTGTGCGGTCCACACCGAGGAGCCGCTCTGGGTGTGACGCATCCCATGTCATCCAGCGAGAGGCGGGCACTGGGGGTGCTTCTGGCAGGTAGCAACCTGTTGCGCTTTGAGTAGGTTTTCGCCTGAAGAGGTGCCAACATGGTGTGGAAACCAAAACCACCTATTTCAGTACCACCCTGTGCACCAGCGAACACCCAGCCTCTAGTTCCAGCAGGTTCTGGAGGGCGGGACCTGGCAGGAGAGTGAGGGCCCACACGAGCAGCAGGGCCTCGCGTGCCGTGAAGTCCTCCTCCAGCAGAAGGTAGGAACCACACACCAAGAGTGGGACCGAGGAAGCGGAGTGGCCCTTCCACGCCCCAGGGGCTCCCCTCTACCCACAGCGAGGCTTCCCCTTCCCTGAACTCAGCACGAACCGTGTGCCACCTGCCGTTAAGGGCCGTCAACATGGCGACTGCCAGCCTCTGAGCCGCCTTAAACAAGCAGCTCCTTCCTCTGGGGACCCACCACCACCCTCTTCAGGGCCCAGCAGGTGCCTCACAAACGCAGTCAGTAAAAGCAGCCCTTGCTCAGGGGGGCTGAGCTCTCAGCCCCCCGCCAGCTGCAGGCCCAGCACCAACCTTGGCACCAGGGCCTGCGCCCGCCCCGAATGCCGAGTCCGTGAAATGCAGGAATCCCACACGCAAGGCCCACCTCTCCCTAGCGCTGCCAGGCAGATTTTAAAAGGGCTTGTCTTCTTCTTCAAACAGAGCTCTCTAAATTGCCGGGCATCACTGAAGAATGAGGTTGCTGAGCGCATCTGATGTACCTTACGGAGAAGGTGGCATCAAAAGGCCGGAAAGGACCACCCGACATGCTGTTGAAGGCTTAGTGGGAGCTTCTGCTCTTCACTTAAACCACAACAGAAGACCCAGCATCACTTCCTTCCTGAGGCAGGTCGCAGGTCACAGCGAGGGGAGGATTCGGGGGCCAGCACGTTGTGGACCGCAACTCCAGCGGCCTGGAGGGAGTCCTCCATGGTCCTCTGCTTCGTGGCCTGTGACGCCGGCTGCACAGCAACCACCTGGGAAACCAGGAGTGCGTCCACGTGACGCCTGTACTGCACAGGTTCTGGGTGGCTCAGCCCAGGGCTTTGCAAAGCCCCTCAGGTGACCTGACTGCGGTGCCAGAGCTGAGCATCGTGATCTGACCCAACTTTTGCAAATGGGGAAACAAGAACTCAAAGACCTTAGCCCTCAGCCACGTGGATAATGACGAGTACAAGTTTCTCTGGGGGCGGGGGGGGGGGCAGTTCTGCCTTCCCCACACGTGGACGCACACAACGCCTACCTGGGTGATGGCCACTGGACAGTACATACGTGCCTTTTCTACAAGAGAAGCCTGAGCGCCATGAGCTCTGCCGGCTGGGAATCGTTCGCACTTTGCATCAGAGGTTTCTCCGTTTTGTGATGGGGATGGTCACCCCACAGGGTTGCGGAGAAAGAGTTCCCACCCTTGCCTTCCCTTGGGCTTGCCCCAGCCTCCGGTCTCTGGCCACGTCCACGTCCATCACCAGGTCCTCTCCTCGGGCCCCCAGGTCTCAGGGCAGCAGGATCCCTCCTTCACACACACACGTGTCTTTCCATGTATTTGCCCCTGTTCCTTGTCCTGAAGTCGTGTTCTAGAGGTATCCACTCAGTGACAGCGCTCCTGTGTCCCACGTGGAAATAAAAACTGGGATCGACAAGTAATGAACCTTCAAGGAACATTAGGAGAGTTACCCAACTGCTCTGAATTTTGGGGACTGTCAAATTAACGTTGACTGCACACGCTGAGTTATTTTCTATTACGCAAAGGAAAACTGAGGATACATCCAGAGACTGAAGGTGGTCAGATCACCAAACCGGTCCCTCCTGCCAATGCTAAAATGCTGTGCAAAGTGTAAGTGGTGAGCAGTTCACCCCGACTGCTCTCCTCCTAACGGTGCCTTTACTCACGATACCAAGTTAGTGTCTGTTCCCAGGATGCCCAAGTTAGTTAGTCATAACTAATAATCTTGTTTCAAGATTTTTTCCCGATCTTGGAGTTGAAATAACCTGACTCATTTTTATCAAAGAAGTAAAAAAATTACAAGAACAAAGAGTCTAGAGAACCCTCTATATAAATTACAAAGCTACAATGCAATAGCTTTAAAACAATTTCTCTACAAACTGAAGGGTTAAAAAAATATTTCAGTAAAAAACGTACATGTGTCCTTATGTGTAAACAGTATAACTATGAGGAAAATATCTTAGTTTGAGGAAGTTTATTGTTACATTTTTGTAATAACAGATGAGGCACAACTATCTCAATAAAAAAAGACAATAATCGAGGGTAACAGTGAAATTAAAATAAAAAAAATAGAAAAGCCTAAGGTTTTGGAGAGAAAAGTGACTATAATCTATGTGTAGAAAGGCTGTAAATGGTTTCAGTTGACCTTGCAAAGAGCGATCTTCTTCTCGGATGCTGACCAATCATGGAATTGAGGGCCGGGCGCCTTGCCAGGACTAAGCCGTCCACTCAGCTTACCGTGAAGAGGGGAGCCCGGCCGCAGGGGGAAGAGCGGGTCAGTTCTGGGCCGGGCAGGGGCCCCCCTCGGGCCGTCCCCCCTGCTTCCCAGTCCGCTCAGCTTCCCTGTCTATACCAACTCGCTTCCGCCTCCGAAAGCAAACCAGCAGCCGCATTAGACGGTTTAAAGGACAAACGGCGCTTGCCGACCGTGCTGACCCCACTCGCCAGCAAGCCGTTCGGACGGGCACCTGCACCGGCTACGCCGACCGCCCCCTCCGCCAGACCACAGGGAGTGTTGCCAGGCTGGTGAGGAAGCGCGTGGGTCCCGACACACGTGTGAGACCTGGAACCCGGCGGGCGAGGAGCGCTCGTGCCCCAGGACAGGTCCTCTGAGCAGCGATGGCGGGGTCTCGGGCCGCCCTGACGCAGCCCGTTGAGAATGTTCTTTTTTCTTTTGGCCTCGGTCATCGGCCCCGATCCCGGGGCTCGTCCTCTCAGTTTATGAAGAGCCACAGGAAGCAGTACAAAAACAGCAACTTTTCTCCAGCCAGAAAAAAGCCGAAACCCCAGCGAACATCGACAGGAAGCCTTGAGCGCTTGAGAGAGACGGGATTTCATGTCGTCTCCTCATTGAAACCCTGTGATAACGAGGCTGACTCGGAAGCAGTTTCTTCCTCCCTTCCCTCCCGGGTCAGCGTCTGCCACAGGGTCCCTGCTCATCTGCTGGGCGAAGGCGGGCGAGCCACTCACCAGGGACGCAGGACCGGGGACAGTGTGGCCTGGGGACGGCGCCCGGGGACGGTCACTCAACCACAGGAACATTCTGGTGCCACTGGCAGAGGAAGCTTTTTTCTCTTTTAAATGCTAGGCAGGGTCCTCAACACGCCAGGCACTCGAGTAGAGTAATACACAGCGGGGACCAGTTTGGAATGCAATGTATTTTTAAACACAGTGAAAGACACCTGGACAGAGTAACCAGACAAGTTAACTGAGTGTAAGATTGACCAGCTCGCGTCGACATTCACAGCCTCTGCAGTTTCACTCAGAGGAGACCACGTCCAACAGTTTTCCTGCTACATGTGTACGTTAGTAGAAGCAAGAGACCGTGATTAGAACCTCGATTCTCGGCCACCAGGAGGCAGCGCGGAGCCCAGGGGCATTAACGAGGGCTCTGCTGGCAATGCCGCCAGCTCTCGGAAGCCCCTGAGGGGAAAGGAGCTCTCCACTTCCTCCAAAGAAGGAAAGGCTCCCTGCAGCCGACTGCAGTGTTGGAGACGACTCAGAAGACAGAAGAGTCATCTGCAAGGCCAGCTGGTTGAAGTTTTTGCCGAGGGGCAGGGAGGGTGGGCACAGAGGCAGCGGGCACTGCCCTGTGCAGAGGGGAGGGGGCAGGGTGGGAAGAAAGTGCAGGCTGTGGGGCCTTAAGTCCACACCGCCAGCTCTCACTGCCACCCTCTCATCTGACGGCCGGGGCCAGGGCCTCTCGGGACATCGGCACAAGAGACTTAAAAGGCAGCGCGCTCCCTTGGGGAAGTGGTGGCGACAGCCCGGCGCTTCACCTCCTACAAACCACTCCCCCCTCCCCCTGCCCCGGCAACACTCCTCACCAAGCACTCTCGAGTTAGAGAGAAAAGCCATCTGCAAAGATGTCGGTTTTCGTGTTTCTGTCATTAAAGACAGAGTGTGCGCGCACGCACACGCAGTCCTCGATTACACTGTGTCAGGGAAGGAATAGTTTCTGTAAAAAGAAAGAAAGCTGTGTTATTAAGCATTACACATTAATACCAAAGTGATCGCTTGGATTTTCAGTAGTTTCACTAGTCCCCAGGATTCAGTAGCTAACATCAAAGTGTCACGTCCTTTGGCCTAGAGCGTGGCGGGCCTCACGGCATCCCTGAGCCAGGTGTTGAGGGCACGGATTCGGGAAACCCGCTCCGGGACACCGGGGAGATCTGGCCTGTGGCCGGCGAGGCTGCTGAAGGACCGCAAAAGTGAGGGGCATCCTCTTTCACTGCAACATAATATCTTTCAGGTTCTCCTGCAGGATGGTGTCCTTCACAGCGTGGAACACGAAGCGGATGTTCTCGGTGTCTATGGCGGTGGTGAAGTGGTGGAAGAGTGGCTTACTGCGATTCCGTCTCTTCCGGTCGAAACACTGGACCAGGTAGCGCTGGACGTCCTCCAGCCTGTGGGGGTCGCCCCTGAAGTCTGGGAAGTGCCTCTGGATGCTGACAGCCTTTACTCTCTCCGCCAGGAGGTCCGTCTTGTTGAGGAACAGGATGATGGAGACGTTGAAGAAGAGCTTGTTGTTAACGATGGTCTCAAAGATGTTCATGGACTCCACCAGGCGGTTGGTGCGCCTGTCTTCCATGAGGACCTGGTCGTACTCACTGGACGAGACCATGAACAGGATCGACGTGATCCCATCAAAGCACTGGAACCACTTCTGGCGCTGAGACCGCTGGCCGCCCACATCCACCATCTTGAAAGGGATGTTTTTGATGACAAAGTCATGCTCCACGATGCCCTTGGTGGCCTTCCTCGCCAGCAGGATGTCCTGCTTGCTAGGAAAGTAATTCTGTAAAATAGGACAAGGGAGAAATTCAGGAGAGGGAGAACATGAGAAAACAAGAACAAAAAGATGGGGGTGAAAGGAAAGAGAGTTACAGTGACTTCTGAGAGAAGCTGAACCAAATACCAGAAGCAACTTTCAATTACAAAAATATAAATTCACCGTGAAACAAAAAGTGAAGGAACTAAACAGCTCATTTCAAAATGAACAAAGGCTCATCAGGCTGAGGAAGGATTATCAGAATCTTCACTGATAGGCCCCAGTCTGCAATCTCATCGGCTTTCTTCTCCACAGGAGACTTCCATCTCTTTTTTTCCTGCACCATAGCTACCTTTCTGTTTTTCTAACTTCTAGGGCACACGCATTCCAAACCCTTACTATGAACTGATTTAACTTAGGTTTTGCAACGCTATTTAAATTTAGCCCGCAATATATTTAATATGTTATTCTTGGAGAACTCTTAAAGTCTTTAGCAACACACGGGCAACTGTGGTCACTCAAACCACTTTGATCCTGCACTATTGACAATCCTCCAGTGATTACTGCACACCAGCACTCATGCATCATCCTTGCCAAAAGTCCAAACAGGGCTGAAGCCTCTAGCGCCAACTACCAATTCATGAAGCACAGAGCGGAGGGAGAAACACCTTCAACAACACTGCAGGGATGGAAGAGCAAAACTGAGACGCGAGAAACCCTGCAGGAGAAATAATGCAATTACTCCAACAAATAAATTGAAAGCAAGAAAAAGACGGAAGGAGAAACCTAAAGAATAAAAGAAGTCTAAGTGCCATGGACCAGTTACAATGGATGGACCGTAATAGGATGTTGATTCAAACTACTAAAATAAAGCAGCATCCACAAGAAAACACTAATGCGACAACTGGGAAAGTCTCAAAGCTGACTTGATATTAAGGAATTATCGCTAACTTTTTAGGAGCAATAATGGCATTGTGGTCACCTGACACAACAAACATGGCTCATGAGGACAGCGAAAGCCCTCACCGCTTGGGCTGCTTTGGTCTCCACACAAATGTTTTCTAATCCTGGATCACAGACTCCTGGGGTGGGGGTCTTACTCACCAGCTGGCCAATCCGGTCCAAGTTATCCAGGAAGTACTTCACTGATTCACCCTGTCGTGGAGGAAATAGTCACAACTCAGTCTTGGTTGAGGAACCCTGATTTGGTAAAATGACTGCTAGTTTGCCCGTGTGTAAATAGGAAGGCAAAGTAAAAAGGCTAATAGCATACATGTATTTTTTTAAATTAAAAACACAATTAAAAAAATTTAAAAATGCAATTTCTCTAGCTCTGATCTCAAGGTTCAAATTCAGACTGTGTTTTCCAAAGCGCCCCTGGCTTGATCCTGGTGATGGGCAGGGTGCTGACTCCCTTCCTTCCCAGATATGGAGACTGGCCTGCTCCAGGCCACGCCACCAGGGAGCTAGCGCGTGAGATTAAGTGTCTGTGAATGGTTTTGCTCCTGGAGAGCTGGCCCAAGGCACTCTAGCCACCGTCTTTGAAGAAGGTCCGTCTTTGAGGCACATGACAAAACACGCGCCAGTTTCTGGAAACAGGCCTGACGCTCCATTATTACGTCACACATTTGTTATAACCTGATTTACAGCCTAGAACGAGGGGACTCTTTGGTCTGGATTTCCGTGCTGGGATGACCAGTCTTTCTCTACCCACTCGGACTGAACGTCGATACAAACCAGGGCCGTTCAATAGCCAGAAGTGACCTTGAAAATCACCCACGGTCCTGTTCTCGGAGGACTGAACCCCCCAACGCAGCGGCACTCACGGGGCATAAGGAGCGTTCAGAGGGCCTTCAATGTCGATTACATGGAGGGAACAGAGGCAGTGGAAGTGAACGGGCAAAAGCTCCCCTTAAAAAGTGGGATGTGGATTATACTCCATGTGCCCAGAGGACACGGCTTCCTGCAAGGTTGCACCCTGAGCCTCACTCTGCAGACAGGGACCGGCGAGGACTCTGGGAGAGTCCCCCAGGGAAGCCACGCCAGCCCCGTGTTCTCACGACAGTGGAGGGTGGCAAGGAGGTGGCACTCTGGGCTTTTAAGGAGGAAGATCATCTGGAAGGTCCTAGACGGCAGCTTGAGCTGAGACTTCGTAAAAGACGATGAAGAAAGACAGGAGCGGCAAGCCCTGGTTCCTCCCTCCCCACGTGCCTCCTTCCTCCGGGCCTGAAGGAAGAAACCGACGGGTGGGCTTCCTTCAGTGAAGAATCAACCTTCCCATTTTAAAATGAAGGCCTGTGGGTGATTCGGCAGAGAGCATCTTGTTTAAGGAACAGAAACACACCTTCCCTGCGTCACAGCACAGATCACCATTTGCGATACGACCTTCCTCCTGGGCATCCGTGCTGTCAGGGCACAGGCCGACTCTGCCCTGGGAGGCCGGGGTCCAGGCCGGCACGAACACCTCGCCTCCAGCCGCGGCCCCCAGCCCGCACACAGCTCCTCCCCGTGGAGGGGAAGCTGGGTTCAGTGTGGCGGGAGGTCGTGCCCCTTCGCGCAGCTGCCGATCGTGCCCTGCCGATTGGCACAGCCTGCCTCCTCCCGTGGCCGGACAGGAAACAGCTGGTGAGCGAAAAGCTGCCGGAGTGGACGCCAACTCACCTGATTTACGGCTACTCCTTCCCCAAAGCTCCCGTCTCTCTTACCTCCCACCGCCTCTCATTCGGGGCCCTCGGAGGTGCGACGAGAGCTCAAGAACAATCAAGGCACTGCCCGTGTCCCCCGCGCATCCTTCCAGGAAGGCGGGGCAGCGGGGGCGGCCCACAGCCAGCCTCCTGCCCGACTTGGGCGGGGGCTCCAGGCACAAAGACAGTGGGACCAGCCCCCGCTCCCACCACCACCTGGCCAGGGCTCTTGGCCTGACTGGGCACAAAAAGTCACGGCAACGCAGATACCCCGGCCATGTTCTGTCACCACGGCATGACAGTCGTCCCGGGGGCAGGCACCACGACATGGGTGCAAGTGCCGAACCTTGACACACAGACGTGACGTGCAAAATGTCCCGAGGACACAAGTAGGCATGAGCTAAACACAGACTATTAAGAAGGGGAGGAAATCCTTTTCCCCCAGTTTGACTTTATTTCCAATGATTGCGTTTGAAATCAGGGTCAGACCAATGGACCTTAAAACACACCAAATGCTAACATAAACGGACATTTACAGTTTGTTTCTCCACCAGAACTGTCTGTTTAATCATCTCACCAGCTTGTTTCACGACCTCAAAGGCGGTGACTTATTGGTGACTCTGCTGCTCTGCATGGTTGGTGGCCTCGACTCTTTTCAGGAAGAATCATGTATGACATCGGAGAGGGGAGAAATCCTGCCTCACCCGGACAATAAGCTACCGGGTCCGCGTTAGAGCCGCTGTTGAACCGTAGGGCAGAGGACTGCACCATTCTGCTCTCCAACGCGGGGCTAGCGGGAAGGGGACACGAGGGGATGAGAAACCAACGTGCTCAGACCAGAAATCGGCCCATAACCTCCGCGCGCCACGCCATCCTGCTGGGCTGAGTTGGAACCGCAGTTGAGGTCACTGTGGTTTATTGTCAGAGACTGGAGAGCACGTCACTCCACTGGACATGTAGCAATAGGCTTCAGGATACCCACAGCGTCAGTCATTTAAAGGTCCAGGTTTACACTTCTGATCTATCCTCAACACCAGGAGAACGCGGTCATTTCTTCAGAGAATAGTGTCTGGCAGAACCTGAGATGCTAACCTGAGATTAACCACTCAGACTTTGCTACAGACTGAATGTCTGTGCCCCCTGCCCCCCATTCACATGCTGAAGTCTATTCCCCAGTGTGATGGTGTTAGGAGGTGGGGCCTCTGGGGGTGCTGAGGTCATGAAGAGGGAGTCCTCACGATGGGATCAGTGCCCGTATCAGAGGGACCCCAGAGGGCTCCCTCCTGCCTCTGCCACGTGAGGACACAGCGAGAAGACGCTGTCTATGAACCAGGAAGCGGGCCGCCACCCGACACTGAATCTGCCTGTGTCATGGACGTCCAGCCTCCAGAACTGTGAGAAATAAACGCTTGTTGTTTAGTCTGTGGTATTTTTATTACCACAGCCTGAATGCACTAAGATAGCACCTTGGTAGAAAGAGGCGACACGATCCCAGAGTCTTCTCCTGACAGCTACTGGGGCAACGTGGTCTAACAAAAAGGAGTAAATGGAAAACAGGCTTTTTACAATCCTGCTTGGTTTGAAAAATCTATATCACTTAAGATTACTAAAAACATGGATTCATGGATTAGACAAAACACAACAAATTCATTAGCTCAGAGGCCACCAAACACATACTTGACACCAGCCCGCCCTCCCGACCCAACGCTCCCAGCAGAGCACTGACCCTTATTAGCTCCAGATGGATGGCTGAGGTGGGGCCTCGTGGTGGAGAAGAGGGGGCTGTCTGTTTCAAGAAGTAGCAGCAGGTCTATTTGGGGCCCGTGCAGTTGTGCTAGGCACAGACGCCGAGTGTGACATGAGGGACGTGCGCAGGGTCCAGGCTCATAGCACCAGCGAAGAGAATCATCTTTTTGGCAAATGGACTCTGTTCTTCACCAAATCTTCACTGGACGCTCCTATTACCCACAGCTCTAGCAGAGGTCATACACACTCAGGACTCCATATTCAAGGCTTCTTTCTGTCCGGCATCATCAGACAGACCCTCCTGCACACCCACCCCACCCTCCGTGACAGCCCCCGCAATACCGAAGCCGCTCCTCCGTCGCATGTCGGCCTCAGGCACCCATTCAGCCCATTTAGGCCTGAGGACAGAGCCTCAGCTCTTGCAGCGCTGAGCAAGCCCACTCTGGTCACATCTCTTTCTCTGCCAGTAATCGATCCAGTCTCCCATACTTGGTTGAATTCTGGTCCTTTCTGTCAGTGGCACAGGGGAGCTGTGTGCATGAAAGAGAGCCTGTCCAGGTCAAGAATCACTGGCAGAGGCTCCGCAGGGGATGGAGAAAGGACAGAGGTGGGCGTGGGTTAGTCCGAGATGCAAAGGTGGAGGCGGGAAGCAAGCAAGGGCCAGCGAGTGGTTACAGAGGAAACAAACACTAACGTCCACTTCGGGACAGGCAGCTTTCCAGTTCCTAGTCCTGTATCTGTCTACACACGAGCGGTTCCTATGTTCCTGTACTCAGCGGAGGTAATTGTAAAATTCTAACACAGGGCTTGTCAATGTGAGCACGAGGATTCGAAAATTTAGTTCACTCGCTTAGACACAGCGAATTAGGAAGACAAACTTCAAAACTGCTGTATATTAAAAACAACAAACTACTCTAAATGTCAGATTTTCATTACTTAATAAATATTGAATTTATGATTTAATTTCCATTTAATAGAGATGCTAGCCCAACAACCTGTTTGAATAGAGAACTTTTAAAAATACTTTAGAGGATAGACCTTCAAGATGGTGGAGGAGTAAGACGCGGACATCACCTTCCTCCCCACAGATACATCAGAAATACATCTACATGTGGAACAACTCCTACAGAACACCTACTGAATGCAGGCAGAAGACCTCAGACTTCCCAGAAGAGATATAATATATATATATATTTTTTTTTTTTTTCCTTTTTCTCTTTTTGTGAGTGTCTATGTGTATGCTTCTTTGTGTGATTTTGTCTATATAGCTTTGCCTTTACCATTTGTCCTAGGGTTCTGTCTGTCCGTTTTTTTTTCTTTTGTATAGTTTTTAGTGCTTGTTATCATTGGTGGATTTGTTTCTTCGTTTGGTTGCTCTCTTCTTTCTCTTTTTTATTACTTTTTAATTTTTTCCTTTTAAATAATTTTTTATTTTAATAACTTTATTTTATTATTATTATTTTCTTTCTTTCTTTCCTCCCTTTTCTTCTGAGCCATGTGGCTGACAGGGTCTTGGTGCTCCAGCCGGCTGTCAGGCTTGTGCCTCTGAGGTGGGAGAGTCGAGTTCAGAATATTGGTCCACCAGAGACCTCCTGACTCCATGTAATATCGAACAGTGAAAGCTCTCCCAGAGATCTCCATCTCAACGCTAAGCCCCAGCTCCACTCATGACCAGCAAGCTACAGTGCTGGACACCCTATGCCAAACAACTAGCAAGACAGGAAC